TGAGCCCGTAGTGGACTTACCTGGCACAGGAGTGGGGCAAGTAGCACGGGTTATGATGAGCCCGTAGTGGACTTACCTGGCACAGGAGTGGGAGCAAGTAGCACGGGTTATGGTGAGCCCGTAGTGGACTTATCTGGCACAGGAGCGGGGCTGTGTGTGGTGGGTTTTTTATGGATATAGATAATTATATGCTAGATTGGTTACCTGTCTGCACCCGGGTCTTCCCCTCTCCTGCCCCCCCCCTCTCCTCCCCTCTTTTACTCTCTCATTCTCTTCACCTTTCTCCCTCTTCTCTCTCTCCCCTATTTCTTCCCTCTTCGCCAACATCCTTCTCTCTCATTCCCTCTCCCCCTTTCTCCCGATTTTCCCTTCTTTATTTACCTCTGCCCCTTTCCCTCCCTCTCTTTCTCTCTCCCCCCCCTCTTCAGCTTTCTCTCTCCCTCTCCCCCAACATTAACCCTCCCCTCTCCACCTTTACCCCCAATGCGAATTAATTCACGTTAGTCGCTTTCCAATAAACCATGAAAGTCAGCATCAATATCCACGGAGAACACATTTGATCTCAGACTTTATGGAAATTTCAGAGTTAGGGATGGGGAGGGGGGCCTACAGTGCCCATATTTCTTAAAGTATGGTACCCCCTTGCTGGCCTATGATACTCCTGTACCCCACTCGTTTCATATGTCAATGTTGGGTAGGCCTAGCCCAAACGTCTGGGCCTCCAACCTCGAGCAAATCTACAAACAAGACATTATTTTTCCCGACTTGAGAATAATAATAATAATAATAATAATAATCTTTATTTAGGTAAGGTCCAGGACGGACGGACCGAAACGTCGTCGTCCCTTCATTTTCTAGTGTGTGGTCTGGTCAACATTATTTTCCCCTCTCTACACATTCCCCTCTTCCCATTTTCCCTCCACCTCGCTCTTACCCTCTTCCCTGTTTGTTATGAGGCTGATGCTACAGTACCTTAACTAACCACTAACCGTTGTGGTTAGTGGTTAGTTAAGGTACTAACCACTAACCTGTTGTTGTTTTAAATTCAGCTACTCAGAACAAAAAGTTCCAAGTAGCACGGGCTATGGTAAGCCCGTAACCAGCCGATCCTTGCTGGCAGTTTATATTTAACTTGTCATATGAAGATTAGTAATTATCCTTACAGTGAAATAACACCAAAGAAACTTGCATCATCTGTGTTTCGCTTCCGTCCCGGTGTGTTTGAAGACGTTCCAGAGTTTCCGTCCTGGGTTTATCCACAATAAAGGTAACGCACGCAAGGCTTCAACAACGGACATGGTAGATCAGTATGTTTAGCTTCCACAGCAGTGATAAAGCGCCTTTTCTGTACAACCTTACGGGCTCACCATAGCCCGTGCTACATGGACACTTCGTTCTGAGTAGCTAAATCTGAAACAACAACAACAATCTTCTGTACAAGTGAGCTTATTCATCAGTTTTGATGCTTTTTATTAACTTAGGAACATATAAAAGAACAGAATATTAAAGGGAAGTGTAGAAGGCCAAATAGTTCATACGAGGCGGTTCGTAATTTATATCGATTCAAACGCAGTCATATCTGTCTAATCTACGCTTGGATGCCTTCGTTGCGGGGAGTACCATTATTTCCTACTGTGTGTTTTGTGGCTTCACAACGTCCGCTAATTTATTCACTGCACAATGTGGATGATCCAAACTGTACAGGAAGAGGATTGTCTTTGTATCCTTCTTGTTGTCGAGCTTGATTGGTTGTAGTCCTGGTCCAGTAATTAATATTGTTTCAAAACATTACCTTACCGGTAATTGCTCTCCATTGTGCTCTGCAAGACTTGTTTCTCTGTCGGGTTCCATTGTCATGCATCTCTTTCCTGAGTCTTATATAGAACAGTTTGTCTGTAGACTTGTCTGCTTCTCCTTTGAGTACTTTATAAAAGCGTCATTGTCGGTCTCAAAGGGATTATTTATTCAAGTAGCAGTCTTGATATTACTGGTGGCGTATGTCAGGTTAGCTATTGTATTATTATTAAATTTTGCCCCGAGGGGCGAGTTTATTGGGCAGCGCCACTCATCCTGTGAGTGGACACACCGCCATAGTGACAGTATTGGGCAGCGCCACTCATCCTGTGAGTGGACACACCGCCATAGTGACAGTATTGGGCAGCGCCACTCATCCTGTGAGTGGACACACCGCCATAGTGACAGTATTGGGCAGCGCCACTCATCCTGTGAGTGGACACACCGCCATAGTGACAGTATTGGGCAGCGCCACTCATCCTGTGAGTGGACACACCGCCATAGCAGCATGTTCAACACTCCCCAGTTAGAAAACCCGCTGGGTTGTTCATCCTGTCACTTGTACCCAGACATAGCTGGGTACAAGTGACAGGATAATTGAGATATACGGTATATGTTGATATACATATGCCTGCCCGAAACGCTTTGCGTAATAGTGGCTTTAGGCATTGTATGTACTAGCTCTATCTATAAAGCCAACAAACTTTGTAAAATCTCTTTATGTATGTACCTTACCTAAATAAAAATTATTATTATTATTATTATTATTATAATTATATACCGGTCTTCTACTGTTTATAGTGACTCCAACGCTCCTTTACTATAAATACATAAAGTTTATTTATAGTAAAGTTAGTACCTTAACTACATTCCCGATAATACAACTGGAAGTTCATCCTACGCTGAAGACATTGTCTGCTAAGCGATGTCTTCACATCCTGCATTTCCGTCATTAGCTACCGAGCCATCACAATCAACATTTTAGAATGTTTTATTTAGGTATCCTTCTACTTATACAATCATATATTTTTCATGTCCTGTCTCATACATACTCTTTTTTTTCTGTTGCAGGGGAACAATCACTATATTATTTGAGTTGCATTCCTCTCAAGGTGGTGTTAATTGTTTCTTAGGTAATGAAAAACATTCTCGTATCTTGTTATACAATAAAATACATTATACATTTTTCAACACCTTTGAACTGAGTGAATTAATTCATTACCTCCCCCCGCCTCTCAGTAATCTAATTCCCCAAGCTATATTTATCTCAGAAACTCTTTCTCTCTCTCTCTCGAATACTCTGTAAGTTCAATTTCATTCTCAATACAGGAGTCCTTATCGTACGAACGAGTTACGTTCTGCGAATGTGTTTGTAAGGCATTTGTACGTTCTACGAATGTGTTTGTAAGGCATTTGTTCGTTCTGCGAATGTGTTTGTAAGGCATTTGTTCGAAAGATGAAGCGAGATTTTCGATAGGCACAATGTTATAAATGGAGGGGGGCGGGGGGTTCGTTCCCGCGCCACCAAATCACAAAATCAATAATTTGGGGACTTATACAAAACACAGACCATTATTTACCTTGATTGATGGAAAGTTATCCTGCTTCTCAAAGTTGGCTGTTTTCGAGGAGTGGAAGAGATCTAGTTGCTGGAGGTGATGGAAAATGGCGATGCGTCTGGTGGTGGAGGGAGACTGGTAATTTTCAGTGGCACTGGGGAACGTTTGATGTTTGGAGATAATGATGGGGGTAGTGGCAAACACCTGTGGGGTCATCATCAGTGTCACTATCTCCTGTTGAAGATGGGTTTAGGTCTGACTTTTTGGTAAAGATTGTTGACGCAATTGATAGCGACTTTTTGATAGGCTATTGCTGGGCTGGAGACTGTCGGGATATGTTTTATCAAAGTACTTTGCACAACTATCTTATTTCCACAACAAGTAAATTATCTTGTAGGGTGAATGACCATTAAATATAATTGTTAAGTTAATTATTTAACATAATTTTTACAATTATTATTTAAAATAATTTTTAAGATAATTTAAACAATTTTTTTAAGATAGTATTTAAAAAAAAATAAGATAATTATTTAAAATAATTTTAAAGATAATTATTTAAAATAATTTTTAAGATAATTATTTAAACTAATTTTTAAGATAATTATTTAAATTAATTTTTAAGATAATTATTTAAAATCATTTTTGTAAGATAATTAAGATAAATAATTTAAGATAATTAAGGTATTTAGATATTTCTCGGCATAGTCGTCTTGCTCTTCCAAAATTGCAAAGGCCTCATTTACCAGCATTAAATACCTCCACAAGCAAGTAAGTAATTATCAAAAAAAGGCACCAAACCGGGAAGGCTATGTAGCAATACCTCCACAAGCTTCTTGGCTGTAACTCAAGTTTTGCTGGGGCAAACACCCAACCAAATCCTGCGGAACAGCTTGATCTTCAATCTTTGCTGCCTCTAACTCAATAAGGTTTTCATTTGTGAGCTCCTCTGAATTAAGAGTTCAATAACTCTTCCACATCTTCCTCATCAACGTCAAGGTTGGGATCCTTGGCAATTTTAACAATGTTTTCAGTCAACTCCTGCTGCTGATTCCCAAAACTTCACCAGCAGCTGATGCAGCACCTGCTGGTGTGGAACTCACCTAGTTGTGTTTGCGAGGGTTGAGCTCTGACACTTTGGGCCCTTGGGTGTGGGTGAGGCAGCACCAGCTGGTGACTTAAGGTGTGGACTGCAAGTGACGTCAAACAACCTGTTTTATAGTGGGAAAAGTTTGCATCAGTAAAACCTTGCTTCCTTTCCCTCTCTCTAAAGCCCCTCCCATTAACAATACCGTGTTGAATACACGGGACTGACATGTATACTAATGCTCTTTTTGGGAAGGCTGCAGCGTATGGAAGAACATAGCTTGAGGATGGGTAGTTTTCAGTTGGGTCCCGAGTTGGTCAACTCGGTCCCCGTCCAGAGTTGATGAGTCAAATTCAGGATATCTTATCAAAGTAAGATGTTCTTTTGATTAGTGTTATGTATTCCTCATTAACAATATCAGTTTAAAACAAGAATTCTGGAAACAAGGGAATGAGGCTAGCCCCTAACATCTGGCCTCCCAATCTCTAAAACAAACACAAACCCAATCTCTAAAACAAACAGGATTTTCAGTTGAAGCTAATTTGATATTTTCTTCCTTGCAGGTGTTTGTACCAACCCCATCTTGCACTTGTGTGTCTCGCCAGCCACTTCCTTGAGACGCAGATGATCAGCTCTCACCAGTAGGACCGTCACACATACTCCGAGGAACTTAACTTACCGCTAAGAAACTCACTTCAGCAGCTCAACTTTGTCACTGCTCGCACGATGACGGTGAGTGTCACAGAACTCGCTGATCGCTTCACATGGATCGACTACATGGTGTTCGGTCTCATGTTGGCTCTATCGGCTGCCATCGGTATTTTCTACGGATGTTTCAGCAAGAAACAGGACACCAAGGAGTTCCTCATGGCTGGCAAGTCCATGACCACCTTTCCCGTGGCCATGTCTCTCATTGCCAGGTAAATATATATTATGCCACGACTTATAAGTGTTGATATGAATTCAATTTAAATCTAGAACCTTGAGATTAACAAAGAATCATTATTGTTGTTTCAGCCGTCATCATTGTCCTCATTCCTAGTTCCACATTCACCCAAACTTTCATGACAGCATTGTCTAACGATAAATTTATTAGTTATTTATCTGTTTATCACCGTAGAGAAACACTGTTTATCTAAGGTGTTGCAGATATTGTTTACGAATTATTTCTGGGACATGAGGCTGCATGGTAATATTAACTCAAACCTGGTTAAATAAAATCTTATTTTGTCGTGTATTTGTATTGGGAGGGGGCGCGGTTTGATGAACAATAAAGTACTCAAGAGGAATATATTCTTATGTTTGAATATATTAGTAAATGTTTACCGTTTTTTGTCAGTTTCATGTCAGCCATCACGCTGCTGGGGACGCCGTCGGAGGTCTACCAGTTTGGGTTCATCTACTGGCTTATCGGCTTCTCCTACATCGCGGTCATGCCTGCAGCTGCCTACCTCTACTTTCCAGTCTTCTACAAGCTCCAGGTACACATGACTATCCTTTAATAATGCTGAAACCCCTTAATACTGTAATTATTTTGTCTGGGTGGGTTAAAGCCTCATCTGAAAGATGCTACACAAGTTGTCAGTTTCCTTTTCAGTTTTGCTACTAGTGCTTTAAATTGTAGTTTATTTACAATAATAACAATGGAAATACTAAGGTGTAATTTAGAAAAGCAACAACTGGAACATGGCATAAAATACAGAATAATATTATGATTTAAGTTTAATGGGGCCAATACTTGAAAGTAAACAAGGATCATACAGGACATTAGTAAACAATTTAACAGAGAAATGCAGTAATTAGATGACACTTAATGAAAAAGGACATAGTTATTAGTAAATTTAAGATATGAGTAACACAGAAATATTATCAATTACGAGGGAAAACGTGAGTGAAATTAGTAACATGATATTGATTATATGATATTAATTACATAGTATCAAGTAAATATTTCTTAGTCCCTCATTTAAAACAAGTTGAGACGCGTACAGCTTTTAATTACATTTGGGAGGTCATTCTACAATTTGGGACCCCTTGATTTGCATAACATTTCCACTGTGGTTGAGCCTCGAGCTAATAATATCAGATATTTGTTTCTCGTGTGGTGTGGTGACTCTTACAACCCTCGAAGAAGTGCTTAAGGTGAGGATTGGCATTGCAGTTCAAAGTTTTATAGATATAGAAAACGCTTGAGTAAATGTGCAAAGTGTTGCAATATCCAACCGACATTGCAACACATTTATCACGCTGTACCGACTTGCAGCCATCCGCTTCGAAAGAATCTGAAAATATTTCCGACACTCAACCTTAACAGAGTCTCACCCATCCAGCACACTGGAAAACTCGCCTTTCTACAACGTAGCAACTGCCACAACGCCCCAAACCCCCTCACAGACCTCGCTATCAATCAACAAACCACAGTTTAGCCTCCACCAACCACGATCCCGGTCAACCACCCAACACCTATACAAGTTAGCTAGCACCGAACATTGATGTTCGGTGCTTGATAGCAGTGCGGTGATCAGTGTATAGCTGACTGGCAGTGTTCGTGTCTCAGACCTTCCACGACAACTGGTGGGCATAAATATGATCTAACCTCGAGACATTCGTATGAGAAAGGTGCGTGAACCTTTCATTCACGTTCAACTGTTCACTGATGTTCATTCACGTTCAACTCCTGCCCATGAACCCCCGAAACGACGATTCATTTCCAAACTTTAGGTCGAAATAGTATAAGCTACTCTATCCTTTTGAAATGGATTTTATGGTCTCAATAAATGTACTTGAATCACCCCGCCCGTCACGTAGTTTCTGGACACCATTCAAGGCTGTCAGCAGTTGAGAGACGAACTTCATTAACGATGACTCCACACAGCATCACGTTTCCACTGGCTTTGAAAATGTCAAGCGTGCTGGCAGGGTCCTATAATACATGTGTCATTATGAGCCACTGCACCAGTCAATCAAATCAGGAGCTCACCCTTTCCTGCTCAGGAATGAAGCCAGCTAACACAACGTAACGGTCCCCTATTGTTACCTTCTCTTACTTGTTACAAAATGGTTTCAGCTTGTTATAAAGTTTTTATGACGTTAGAAAGTTGTTACTTGTTAGATAGTTGTTACAACTTGCTAAATAGTTGTTACAACTTGTTCGAACGTTGCATATTACAGCTGTGTTTTTTATGGCTATTTTGGTGTAAACAAAAGCGCTGGTTGTCCATTGAATGCAAGACATCTTAGGTTTAGTTGGAATGTTGTAATATAAACAAGGGAAAAAGTGATTAGTTTCTCAGATTAATTTCCCTTTAATTTCATAAGTAATTTTTGTTTTGTATAGACCAGATGAACTTTCTGGTGCTAATTAATTATAATATGAGTTAAAGTATTGAGTCAATAGTGTTTAATAGACGAAATTCAAGATTGATATCATATACATCATATTTAAAGGATGTACATAACTTTTTACCATAAAGTCCTACAAAATCTAGTTACTATTGTTTAGAATTAATTTATGTCTGATTTCTAGATGATGATAATGTATATGTTGATTAATTTAGAAAACAATGGAAATATCCTAAATCTTCAGTTTAACATCAGATGAGCTTTTTTATTCTGTACATTTAAATTAAGGAAGTTTACTGTGGGTGTAAGTCGCCCCTGAAGTATTATTATGAGTGTAATTGTGAGTTTGACCAACAGGTTACCTCCGCCTACGAGTACCTTGAGAAGCGGTTCCACAGAGCAGTCCGGTGGCTGGGCTCCTTCGTGTTTATCATCCAGGTGTGTAAGGCGGCTGTGTGTGTGTGTAGGATTGTAGCCCCAGATACCTGCAACAAACAAGGTTCCATTTGTGAGTCTTTGTCTCTGATGAATTACTTTCAATTATCAATAAAAGGGAAATAACTAAGATGAACTTGTTTTACTGTGTGGGGCCAGATGTCGCTGTACATGGCCATCGTGGTGTACGCTCCAGCACTCGCACTGGCTCAGGTCACCGGCTTCGACGTCTACGTCTCCGTCAGCCTCATCTGCTTCGTCTGCATCTTCTACACCACTCTTGGCGGCATGAAGGCTGTCCTCTGGACCGACGCTCTCCAGGTTAGTCGCCGCCTGCATTCATGCATCTTATATGCTTCCTTTCCTGCGCGCACGCATACGTTTTTCGTAAGACAAAAACGCATAGATGTTTAGCTATATAGCTATATTTTATGCTATATTTGAAAGAAATTGGCAACTAAGTACTTTTTATTATGGTCACAGACGACAGTGCTCAAAATATTAACAATACAGATGAGTTACCAATTATTCTCTATTTTTGTATTTTTCGTTTTCTTTGAAAACATAATTAGAGTAATTCAAGAAAAGTTTTTGATAGTGCATCTTTGGCACGAACACCAGGCTTCTCTGCTATGTTGATTGTGGGGTTTATGCCTCTCAACACTCTTCACCGATCGAATCCTTTATGCAGAATATGAATTCAAGATATACTCCAGTAAACTTCTGACTTGGTGCCTGTTAATCAAACAATTCTAAGGAATCTGATACGTAGTTTACTACGATGAATACTCTAGGAAGTCTACCACGACTTAAATTAGAAAATAATACGTGAACAAGAAGTGCACACAGCTGGTTAGAGTAGTGTAGCCTCCGTCATGTAGTCCAGTGCCGGGAAACGAGGCTATAGAAGACAGCTGTGCAACAGCTGTGCAACACCTGTCGTGAAGTCCCAGGTCAGCAAACAATAAATATATATTTAGATTATAGGCAACAAGGCACTGGGTCGTTGCCTTCCATGTATGCCAATCAAAACATTGAATATCAGTAGCCTGCCTAGCCTAAAGAATTTTAAATTAATTCTCTAAGTATAATATTATTTCAAATATAATAACAAATAAACAATTGATTAAATAATTCACCACGTACTTAGTTTGGGTAAAGATCCCACAATATAACCGGTGTTCTAGAAAATAGTGACACATACATCATTAATATAACGTCAAATTAATGAGTCACAATTATCCTTTATTATTTGTCGACACTGGGTCCTAAATGTCTTCTTCTAAATACTGTCCTATACTGTCTTCTAGTCGACTCAATCCTCCACCTGTGGAGGGGAGGGAATTATCAGGGGAAATCGCCAAGCCATTACGACTATATAGCACTTTGAAGGGATAAGGATTTGGGATGGGACGGAGGGAAGGAATGGTGCCCAACCACTTGTGGACGGTCGGGGATTGAACGCCGACCTGCATGAAGCCAGACCGTCGCTCTACCGTCCAGCCCAAGTGTGTGTGTATGTGTGTGGAGCTGAGAACATTATTTTATTTTCTGAAGCTGGAGGTCCCATGTGGCGTCCCGTTTGGGGCGAGTTGCTTCTTGTAGCACCTGATTATGTCTCTATTAATGTTAGTCAACACTTCAGAACGTCTTGTATAGATTTAAATGTCCCCTTGGACAATACTTACCGGTCGTATAACCAAGAACAAAGCGTATAGTTCATAATCTTGAGGTAAATACTCTGTACACTCCGACGTGGCGCGAGGTTAATGGCGTCTCTTCTTCCTTACTCAACTGAGAGTTTAAAGGAGCGCTGCTTTATTTAATTTAGTTATTGATTGATCAACAATATACTTATTAATTCTATTTAATACTTTATCACTAAGTTAAGGCATGTTTTATGAGCAATAATTAATATTACTAATATTAGATCAAATGAAAGCCAGTGTTAGTGGCGTCTCTTCTTACTCAATCGAGATTTTAAAGGAACGCTGGTTTATTTAATTTAGTTATTAATTGATCAACAATATACTTATTAATTCTAGTTATTATTTTATCACTAAGTTAAAGCATGTTTTATGAGCAATAATTAATATTATTAATATCATATCAAATGAAAGTCAGTGTTAGTGACGTCACAAGTGGGTGCAGGCAGCTCACCTTTATGGCGCCAACAATTAGAGGCGTCCAGAGGGCGGGAGTTGACCCTTGGTAATCTCCACATAAACTATCAATTACATTATACTGTGAATATTATCCTCATTGGTAAAGAATATTCGAACTGGAATATTATCTAGAAAGCAAAAGAAAGCTTTAATATTTATAATCCACATAGCCAGCATACATCCATCATCCAGAAAATTCCAAAATTCATCTGCCTCGTAAACTATCTAATGGAGTTTAACACGTTGCTGATAACATGTAGATTATAGAGAAACACCAAGAGTAAAAACTTAATGGTAGATGTCTATAATGGCGAGATTTGATCTGAAAATCTGCTTTGATCTGCAAGGGGTTATCCTAAGTTATTTGTAAGTTAGAATAATAACGATTAGAATAGTAGGGATTTACACACACAATTGAACAACAACATTTGCTAAAGATACGAAAATGTTACGAGAAATTAATTAAACAATCTGACAGTCACTTTAAGTCTAGATAGGCTTTTAAAATGGATGAACGATTGAACAGATGCAATTTAATTTACCATACCAGTACTTCTAATGTAATTTTTCAGCTGTTTCATACCCTCGCTAGGCTTTATTTAGATTATATATGGCGCTTAAAGGATTTTAGGCGACCGCAATTCAGTTTCAGTCTCCTCTCCATAACATAGATGCAATTTCACTGGAACTGGCACAGATGAATAATCCGAGGAATTAAAAACCTTTCATATGAGGAGAGATTTAGAAAATCTAATTTATTTCTGGAAAGGTGGAGAGTAAGCAGTGTTATGGCTGAGATTTATATACAAATGTTTGAAATGGTATCGAAAGAGGATATGAATCACGTGTTATGTATGTTAACACAAAATAGAAAAGGAATAATTGGAAACTAATTTGGGTAAGTTTGGATTGAGAAAAGACCTTAGTATGTATTGCATATTACTGATTTATGGATCAATTCCAGAGTAAGATAGATGTTTGATTGGTGGATTATTTCAGAGAATAAATATATATTTGATTGAATTTGGTTAGTTATAAATATCTCTAGCTATCTCTCATAGGCCAATAGGATATCTGCAGTTTCCATTGTTCTTATGTTCCAGACACTCATCATGTACGCCAGTATGATGTTCGTCATCATCAAGGGCGCTGTTGACGTCGGAGGATTCAGTGCCGTCTGGGAGAGGAATGTTGAGAGCGGCCGAGCACAGCTAATCGACTTCGACCCGGATCCCACCACCAGACACACCTTTTGGACGCTAGTTATTGGAGGATATTTCACCTGGATCACCATATACGGCGTCAACCAGGCGCAGGTACGGTCTCCGCAAGTGTGACTGTGTAGGAAAGGTGCTTCTTCGTCCCATTATCTTACTCGGATGTTACTTTTTGAGCTTATCATTCCGGAAAAAAGAGTATTAGCTCTTGGGCTCAGTTATCACCCGGTTCCCGTTGTCGGTTCCCAGAGAATATCTATTCGCTTCATGAGGAGAGGAGATAAGCTCTTTCACAGCGTTCAGAATTGTTTGAGTGACGTACATACTTCCACGAAGTGTTTTGAAACATCCACTTGTTTAGAATTTGAACAGGAATTGAGGTTTTTGTAATATTTAAAATTTCTCTGTGTGAAATAGTCATAACAATTTACACATTCTTGGCGTACGTGCAGGTTCAGCGATACCTTAGCGTCCAGACAAGACAAATGGCCGTCAACGCCTTGTGGGTCAACTTGGTGGGACTTTTTGTGTTAATGATCACCTGTTCCTTCGGCGGGATGGTTGTGTACGCCAAGTACTATGACTGTGACCCCATCCGGGCTGGAGTTGTCACCAAGGGAGACCAGCTCTTCCCGCTCTTCGTCATGGACACCCTTGGACAGTGGAAGGGACTTCCAGGACTCTTCGTTGCCGGCATATTCGCCGGCGCTCTCAGGTAAGACCTTTTTCCTTTGTAGTTATTGAATAGTTAAAGCAAAGTTTCATGTTTCTGCATTACAACAGTCTCCGAGCTATAGGTATAGTCAGCAGAAAAGCTCTTACTATTTTCTGAAGATATTCGGCAGATCACTTTGCCAAGTTGAATAATAACAGTTATCAAACACGATTACAAGTACCAGGAATTGTATTCAACAAATTAATTATTATTCGTTCTCTACCAGCACCGTTTCTTCCGGGTTGAACTCTCTGGCGGCCATCGTTCTGGAGGACTTCATCAAGAGCGGGTGTTATCCAGGCATCTCCGACACCGCCAGCACCTGGGTCTCCAGGGGCCTCTGCGTATTCTTCGGTCTCATCACTTTTGCTCTCGTCTTTGTAGCAGAGCAACTCGGCAATATTTTGTCTGTGAGTAGGTCTGTTACTGACTACATTAACTATATGCTCCCTGTATTGCACTACACGTTCACTCTAAGTTCTGTATGTTCCCTAGATACTCAGTATGGTTTCCTTTTTCTTGAAATGTCTCATGAGATGTCTTTTGAAATGTCTCCATGTGGATAAGGATTCTTAGCTTTGGTGATAATTGTCTTCTATGTAAATGTGAATTTAATGGTAAATAATTTTAATAACAAATGTTTTTAATGCATCTGCTCCCACTTGGTGTGCTAATTTTATAGCCTGATGAACACTGACCCCTCAAGGTCTTGTACCATTGCTGCAGAGACAAGAGCCCCACACCGAGCACTCTGTTTTGCTTCTTTTAAAAACATTTGCCAGATGTTTTGCCTTTCCCTTAGTTCATAAAATAACTCATGGTCAGTTATAATGGTGTAAACCTTCTTGGTGTTCTTCTGTAAGTTTTTGTATGGTGATGTATTTGATGCATATTTTAAAGCCCCCAAAAGAGCCAGGCGATATCTCATTGAAAAGGTTATTCCACATAGATTTTACTCTATTTAGAACCCACCTTTCCTTCGTGTCCAACAGCCATTTTTTAAATAATTTTTTATTTTATTTTTAACATAAAAGACTAGCCTGAAATTAAACATTTATGTTTAATTTCATAGTCAGGCTAGTCTTTTATCTTGATCTTATTGTTAGCCTTTCAAAGATATATCTGTAACTGTACACCATATTCAACAAATTTAGCAAGTTAATATGATAATACATGCTTTCCAATTAGTCATAGTTTTAAGTTTCTGGGAACTCTTTCTGTCTTGAGATTTTCTGAATAATAGTACATTTCTTGCACATATCTCATTGTATGTGATGGGCGACCAACAGGCCCGTCAGAGTTGCGGGACATTAGATAACGGGGGGGGGGGGGTCTCTCTCTGCTGGACAACCGGCTGTAGTAAGACTCCTCTTAATAACGTCACTTACCTCTCTATGTTGCATGCCATCCTCCTGTGCTTTGGCATAGCAGCGCATGCCGGCCGTACCTGTCGGCCACTGCCTCGCAACAAATACACCTATATTCGGTGTGAATTGGGGCAGCGAGGTAGAGAGCCACGGCAATTCGGAAGGCCTGCGGTGTAAGACGCGTGCCGGTTGTTGACATAGGGGTTGCTAATAGGAAGTCACCTACATAGGGAACTGCTACAGCTCTAAGTCGAGCAGTGAGTGTCATATGGTGTTGTTGCTGCTTCTAGGCATGTAGCAGCTGCTTGGTATACAAATCTTGTGATCTTGGTGAGATCTGCATACTCCTAGCCGTCAGTTACCATGGTGACCCGTCATCTGTTTACACACAGCTTCACACTTGCACTGGGGCTCATCACACGAGGCCTCCAAGATGATAATTTTTGTCACATGGTTCAGGCTATGCAAATGCTGAGGAAATTGGAAGAATTTCTTTCTTACGTCTGCTTGGAGAATGCCAGATCATTTACAGTATCAAAGTTTACCCCAGTATGTTTTAACCAATTATTTGAGTGTGTATGTGTGTGTTTACGTATGTGAAGAAGTGTGCGTTATATGGAACCGGCCACCAATGATATTTATATAGAATTATGTATTACATTGCAGGCCGCGTTGAGCATATTCGGCATGGTTGGAGGGCCTCTGCTGGGAGTCTTCACCCTCGGCATGTTCTTCCCTTGGGCCAACGCTATCGTAAGTCCTTCAAGTGTTGGAAGTCTTTGTTGCACTGACAGCCAGTTATATCTCAATATAATCATCAACAGTACATTCTTATCTCACATAAAGACTGAGTCAGTCTCTAAGTTCAAGTTCAAGTATGTTTATTGAGACAAGAAAAAAATACATCTCAAAGGGATAGAGTAGCTTAGGCTATTTCTACCCCCCCCCCCAAGAGTCTGTTTATTGAGACAAGAAAGAAATACATCTCAAAGGGATAGAGTAGCTTAGGCTATTTCTACCCCCCCCCCCCAAGAGTCAGTCTCCAACTCTGGAGAAAAGTTCTATCAACATAATTATATGCACAAATACATAAACATGAATCAAGAAATAACGAATGAGGACTTGTGAAGTAAATATGTGCAACAAGGGTGTTCTAGCGACCCTTGGACCTGAACCCCAGACTTCTTGCTGGCAAGAATACAAACCTCTGGATCACACTAACATTCGACCATTTTCAACCACATGTTAAGGAATTCCATTCACTTCAACAGTAAATTGTCAATGATATCAGCATTAGATCATTTGAATAATTATGTATTTATCTATTCCATTCACGATATCCTACTTATCCTACATCCTACAGGGAGCTTTCGTTGGTGAAATCGTCAGTTTGATCTTCATGTTCTGGATCGGGGTGGGCCATCAGGTGGCCAGATCCTCGGGCCAGATCAAGCTGGTGGCCATGCCCACTAGCATAGACGGCTGTCAGAACCTCACCATCACTGAGCCCCCCTTCATATATGTACCGTAAGTCGCTGCATGTTCAGATACTCAGTACTGTAATTCCAGCCAATCATTTACAATAACAAAAACGTATTTTTAACTTTTAAATAAATATTTTGGTGACCATAGTTTACATGATAATAGAATTCCTTTTTAACACGGAATTGGAAAGTTATATGAAGACCAACAATTAGATAAGAAATTATAACTGACATACACACAAGTGCTATACTAACTTCAGCAAAAATAGCCTCACCTGTCTGGGTTGCTGATAATCAAAATTATTCCACGCTTCTGTATGTGTTGGGTGGACTAAACTGGACTTTCCCTGAGAAATACAAGACTGTATTCCACACTAGAAAACCCAAAAAACTGAGTACTTCCCACGATGGTTAATTGCATATTTACTTTACAAGTTGTGTTTGAAAACTGCTGGAATACTTACGGTAATTGTCTATCTAATATTCTATTTAGAATTTCATCGTTGTTTGTCACTCATAATACGGATTCTGTAAACGTCATAACACAACAGATGTTTTGGCAAAAGCTGAAATTTCAGAAAGCTTTCTCATGCTTGTCATTCGCAAGTATTGTTGGTTTTTTAATCTCGATAAAACATACGACGCTTCCTGTAGCTTCAACAGTTTTCCTCCAGACACATAACAAGATAAATACTAGAATTGCTTGAATTGGGTAACTTTTATATAACTGGGAAGTTTCTTAATTCATGGATCAATAGCCTCATTATTCCCATTCCTAAATCTTCCTTATATTACGGACCTTGGGGTTCTATTCCTGAGCCCATTTTGTACATGCTATAAAAAGACTGTTGATATGTATGTATTAAACTATGCAACTAGCTTATCAAGGCTATAACTTGTTTAGTAAAATGAAGTTCTGGGTTCAGCTCTTCTGCCCAAAATGTGCCTCTGTAACCTTTTGTACTAAACCTCACAGAAGGGGTATGGGGTAAACAAAACTGAAACTCTAGTATTTTGAGTTGAGTACATTAACTGTTGATGTTTTTGCCACAGTGAGGGCGAGGAGCCAGGTGAGGCGCTGGCCTTGTACCGCCTGTCTTACATGTGGTACTCTGCGACGGGCTGCTTCACTGTGATCATCGTGGGCATGCTGGTGACGCTGGTGACTGGTAAGCAAGATGTGCGGGCTGTTGACCCTCGCTGTCTCTCCCCCGCCGTCATGTGGTTCAAGAACTGGCTGCCAGGACTCAATGGTCTCGGAGAAGACTACGTGAGTATCCCCTTCAGTTTTTATATGTATTCCATCCCTTCCAGCTAGTTTCCCCGAGAAGAATACTTAGTCTTTAATATAATGCACAGATTAAAGGCGTAATTAATTTTTAAATGTGGAATTTTTGGTCTTTTGATACAAGTTGCTTAGCAATTTTGTGCTTTGAATTCAATTTTACATATTTAAACATAACCCTATCCACTTGAGCAGTGAGTACTATATTATGTTTCTCTCATACAATATTGAAACATTATTTTTTTCCTTTTTACAGATTGACGAAGAAGATGAACTGAGGGAGAGTAAAAGCAGCAGTTCCTTTGGCAACACCAACCCAAGTTTCACCCCAGAAATGATGGAGAAAACATACGGGGACTACACACCTGAGAAGGAGAGCTCGAAGCTGTAAAATATTAATTTTAAAATGCAGTTTCTGCACTCGGCTACCTAACTTGCGAGCTCCGAGATCACAAGCCTAATGCACTATGAGAGACAACTGAGAATTCTTCTCCATGAGAGTAATAAGATAAGCAATCAGCTTTCGCATTCTGCACCAGGCTTCCGGCCCCGCCAACACCACGAGAGGCAGGCTCCAGCTACACAATGTTGCCCCTGTTCAGTTATTGTGGGTTATGTAGAGCTCCTGAAGTGCAACTTTGCTTGTGGAATGCAATGTGAATTATTGTTTTGATGACAGGAATTTGTATTGGGCATTGCTGGCTGGGATATATCACGGAAATTATGGTCATTATTGTATGATATTATGACACTAATTGTGATGACTTTGCATCGATAACTTAAAAAGCCCACTGACAGCTGCACTATAATATGACACACACACCACTCTACTTTATATAGTACTAGCAACACCTTAAACTTAAAATAAGTACACCATGTTGTGTCATTAAGTACAGGGAAGGGGGACAAAGGTAAAATGTAGTGACTAATAACGTTACCATGAACCCAGTTAACTTAATTGAAAGTAACTGATGCACCTGTTTTGGGAAGCGACTGATACACCTATCTGGAGAAGTGACTGATATATTTTCCAACCGCATGATCATACACAGTTATTAGTCTTTGTTCACAAGCTGCTCAGTAATACATAAGTTGATTAGCTGTTTACATACTCACATTTTATAGACACACACACTATATATATATATATATATATATATATATATATATATATATATATATATATATATATATATATATATATATATATATATATATATATATATATATATATATATATATGCGAACAAGCCTGAATGGTCCCCAGGACTATATGCAACTGAAAACTCACACCCCAGAAGTGCCTCGAACCCATACTACTAGGAGCAACGCAACTGGTATGTACAGGACGCCTTAATCTAGATTAAGGCACAATGCTTTATCTAGATTAAGGCGTCCTGTACATACCAGTTGCGTTGCTCCTGGCAGTATGGGTTCGAGGCACTTCTGGGGGTGTGAGTTTTCAGTTATATATATATATAACATTTGAACATGTTCAAGAAGCTTTGAACATTTTCCTCGTAACTAAGAGGACTCTGGTTCGAACTCACTGTGATCTCGTGGACAAAGTAATTGGTACAAACTAAATTATTAGACAGATCAAATTTAAGGGAATGTCATACCCATGTTTCTGTTCAGTGAGAGATGCAAGAGTGCTTCATTGATCTGAGATATTTAATGTTAAATAACTCATATATTTTTATTATATCAACATAGATTGTGTTTTTATGTATTTAATGTCAATGTGGTTGTATATTGCCTTAATATTCAGAATTAAATGTATTTAAGTAATCATTTTATTATTCATGTCAAACATTTACACTTTCAGTGTACTCACCTAGTTCTGCTTGCGGGGGTTGAGCTCTGGCTCTTTGGTCTCAGTGTGTGTATGTGTGTGTGTGTGTAATTACCTAAGTGTAGTTACAGGATGAGAGCTATGCTTGTGGTGTCCCGTCTTCCAAGCTCTCTTCGTCGTATAACGTTTGAAACTACTGACGGTTGTTAAGGCACTACGGGCTCACCATAGCCCGTGCTACTTGGAACTTTGTTCCAGGTAGCAAATCTTTAACAACAACAACAACATACTGACGGTTTTGGTCTCCACCACCTTCTTAGTTTGTGTATGTGTTTGTGTGTGCACTCACCTAGTTGTGCTTGCGGGGGTTGAGCTTTGGCTCTTTGGTCCCGCGTCTCAGCTGTCAATCAACTGGTGTACAGGTTCCTGAGCCTACTGGGCTCTATCATATCTACATTTAAAACTGTGTATGGAGTCAGCCTCCATCACATCACTTCCTTATACATTCCATTTGTTAACTACTCTGACACTGAAAAAGTTCTTTCCTACGTATCTTTGGCTCATTTGGATAATCAATTTTCACCCTGTGCCGCTTAGTGCGTGTGCCCCTTGTGTTAAATAAACTGTCCTTATCTACTTTATCTTTATGTATTTATGTGTATGTGTACTCACCTATTTCCACCTATTTGTGCTTGCGGGGGTTGAGCTTTGGCTCTTTGGTCCCGCCTCTCAACTGTCAATCAACTGGTGTACAGATTCCTGAGCCTACTGGGCTCTATCATATCTACATTTAAAACTGTGTATGGAGTCAGCCTCCACCACATCACTGCCTAATGCATTCCATCCGTTAACTACTCTGACACTGAAAAAGTTCCTTCTAACGTCTCTGTGGCTCATGTGGGTACTCAGTTTCCACCTGTGTCCCCTTGTTCGCGTCCCACCAGTGTTGAATAGTTTATCCTTGTTTACCCGGTCGATTCCTCTGAGGATTTTGTAGGTTGTGGGATCATGATCATGTCTCGTGATCTCATGTGTGTGTGTGTGTGTGTGTGTGTGTGTGTGTGTGTGTGTGTGTGTGTGTGTGTGTGTGTGTGTGTGTGTGTGTGTGTGTGTGTGTGTGTGTGTGTGTGTGTGTGTGTGTGTCTGTCTGTGTAGTTTCCCTCCCCCTCATAAACCAAGGAGGTTCTAGACTAAACATTCGTGCCTTGAGTGCAGTCTGTATTTCACATGAGAGGGACTGCACTAGCGTAATCCGTTCTTTTTAGATCGAAGACTGAACGACAAAATATAACTTCTGTGAAGACAAAGGAAATAAAATATTTAAATTACTGTGATAATCTTGTATTATTACTCACTTCGTTACACAAGAAGAACCAACTTATATATATAATGTCTCCCTCTCTCTCTCTCTCTCTCTCTCTCTCTCTCTCTCTCTCTCTCTCTCTCTCTCTCTCTCTCTCTCTCTCTCTCTCTCTCTCTCTCTCTCTCTCTCTCTCTCTCTCTCTCTCTCTCTCTCTCTCTCTCTCTCTCTCTCTCTCTCTCTCTCTCTCTCCTCTCTCTCTCCCTCTCTCTCTCCTCTCTCCTCTCTCTCTCTCTCTCTCTCTCTCTCTCTCTCTCTCTCTCTCTCTCTCTCTCTCTCTCTCTCTCTCTCTCTCTCTCTCTCTCTCTCTCTCTCTCTCTCTCTCTCTCTCTCTCTCTCTCTCTCTCTCTCTCTCTCTCTCTCTCTCTCTCTCTCTCTCTCTCTCTCTCTCTCTCTCTCTCTCTCTCTCGCTCTCTCTCCCTCTCTCTCTCTCTCTCTCTCTCTCTCTCTCTCGCTCTCTCTCCCTCTCTCTCCCCCTCTCTCTCTCTCTCTCTCTCTCTCTCTCTCTCTCTCTCTCTCTCTCTCTCTCTCTCTCTCTCGTATTCTCTATGGCTGTCTATTTGGTGACTGTCTGTGTGTCCCTCTCGTAGTTCACCATTCTATGTATCTGTCTAAAAGCCCGTCTTAATTGCATTGAAATTGAAATCAGTTCATTGAGGTTTCTGGAAACCAGAGAACCTTTCAAAACGCATAAATCTTTCGTCCGTCTTGATTTTTTTTTTGTGATGGTGATGTATAATTTAGTCTGTGTTGGGTTAAGCGAGTCTTTTTTTGTTTGTTTGTTACCTAATTAATTCTGCACCCCATACTCATCCTGTGAGCGGCAGCGCAAAAAGGATTACAGACGGCACAAAAGGTCTTTATCAGACCTCAACGGAGATTATTACAGTAACAATTTAATGTATCCTTCACGCCTTATAATTACAGTGCCAACTAGTTACAGAGAATGTTCTATTTCAAGAGCTATATATTTACAGTAAATCATTATACATTAATGGTACCTCTTATCGCTAATACGTAATTGTTTTAGCTATGGAGATATTTACAGAGTCATAGGGAAGCTGTTGTTTGTTGATGTTAGTCTTCACAATACACTACTTGTTTCTTAATCTCATTTGTCGTTTATCTACTGGAAGCGAAATATGGATACAGTGGAAGGATTTCAGGTATTTTATCCTTAGTAATATGATGGTTTGCCATTTCACGCAACGTGAGTTTAGACTGACCTCTAAATGGCTCAATTTTACTACGGTCCAAGATATAGTGCTCGAGTGTGTGTCCCTGTCTTTGTCCACACACTTTGCCCTTTACTTCATCTAGATCCCTATACAAGCCGAGCTGCCAGAGATACTTGTAGCCAAGTATTATTCGAGCTGTGACAACGTCTGTTAGCGAGTCTGTCTGTACCTTTCCTTGAATGCAGAGTGAGATATGCCTGTGTGTGGGTGGTGCGGGCGACGTCTGCCTAGGGGGGATAACATACGCAAAAAGCAATAGACTCCCATTGTCCATAGCCTAAAGAAGGTCAATTACTGCTACTTTGAGCTGTTCATCTTAGATGTGAGGAATTTACTGTGAGTATGGGAGAGGTTATGAACTGTCGCACCTTAGATCAGGGATAGCCAGCCTATGGCACACCAATAAAAATATTGCTGGAACGCGGTCAGCAGTGCCGACAAGTTATGCCTCACTCATAAAAAAAAGGTTACCTAATCGACAAATTAATGTTTAAAATAAATAACATTAGGGATAAAGGTTTTGTAAATGTGTTTGCAAATTTTATTGGACATTAATTGGTATAGGCTTTCAATGTATTGTATAGGAGTAGGCTATGTGTTCAAAAGATGGCCTGAAAGAAACTGAAGTGATGAAAATTGCAACTGAGGTAGTTATACTTATTTACGCACGTCCTTTGAAAAAGAAAAGAAAATTTACTGAGCGAGATGAATAGTAAGGAGGGAGCCGCATTTGAATTGCCCGCCGGCTGAAGCAACTGGTAGACTGGCTGTGTTACCCGGATACAGATCACATCGTACATAAGACGATTCTCCAACGAATTTTAACACCTACCTAACCTAACCTAGCTGAACTTAAACCAACCTTACCCAATATAGCCTAACCTATGCTAATACAGTCTAGCATAACGATATATATATATGGTTTTAGCATACAGAAAACGGGCTTCGTCGAATAGTCTCGTGTCCGAAACGACCATATCCCTGTTATCTTGGGGCAGCGTGCCTCTGGCATTGAAAACAACTACACCGCCCTGAGCACACACACACACACGTAATTACCCGCTGGACTTTATGTCCATTTCTACTTCTCAGTACACCGGGACCTCGCCCGTCTTCCGTTTCATCCCTCCTCTACCTCCGAAGACAACAGAGTCAAGGTGAGCCTCTGTTCACTCCGGATTAACTTCACTTCCAGAGATTTTGACGGAGTAGATCTCTGTATCTCCGTTAATCAGGCTCATCCCATTCAGAACACAGGCGCTCTTCATGCACCAACTACCTCTCTAGTTTAAGGTAATTTAAGAGGCTGAAACCACATCGGCACCCTGACCCATTGCAGCATCTCGGGGGTACCATATCTAATTACCTAAGTGTAGTTACAGGATGAGAGCTACGCTCATGGTGTCCCGTCTTAATGATCCTTTATAATTGTGAGATATGTCCAAGGGTGCCAGGATTTCTGCAGGTGTCACACATGCCACTGGCACCTTAGGCGGCACTGGACGGGTAGCCAAAACGTTACTATTGTACTCACGTGGAGAAGCTTCTCCACGTGGTTTTGAGGTAACGTGAAGAGCCGCCATTAACCAAGTTCCTTTATCATTTGGTGTACACAGGACGTGTGCACCAAATCCTGGTGTTCTTTGATAATTTGACGTACAAGTGTTCGTTCTGCAAATTGCTAAAACTATTGATAGTAGTGAGGAAAGGAACTAGAAATAAACTCTACTTCAGTGTTGTCAATCATTTTGACTGAAAAATCTGCTTATGTCATTACTTATAGTATTTTCATCGACTTAGTCATCTGAGATACTGTTTTCAGTGATGTACTTGAAGTCTAATTACTGTAGTAGACTTACAAATGAAATTAATGCTGCATGCATAGCTCTCAAAAACATTAATTACCAGCCTGATAAAACTATCAGTGGTGCAGTAACAAAAAGTCTCAAAGTTAAGTATCTCTTTTTTTCTTTCCTTTCCTAGATTTGTTTTATTTTACAGTAAGAAACAAAGTTTACCATTTCATCATCACCATTCTTATGTTGCTTATGAGATACAATAACAATACTACTGTATTGTATGACGCTATTTTTCATTTTTTTTTTTTAATTTATATTACACAAGAAACAAATCCACAAGGGCCGTGACGAGGATTCGAACCTGCGTCCGGGAGCATCATCATTATATTACACAAGTTTTGTATAGGCTTTCTAAATTCGTTTCATTTATTTCCGTGTCCTATTTTACAATCAACAAAGACACGTAAATAGGCAACAGGACTTATCATTCTTCAGTTAAAAAATGTTCGTTATTTTTGTTACTAATTCATTAATTCTTGTGAAATATTAGCTATTAATAACATGTAATTCCGAGGGCTGTACCATTTAAAAAGAATTCAGAAGAGGTATTGGTAGCCTAAAGAGACTTTATTAAGAATGCTTTCAAGTATTTTGTTCATGGGCACGAGGGAGACATTTTTATAAAATTATCGAAAATTGGTCACATGCTCTTAAAAAAGTAGATTCACCATCCCCAGTCCTATATGAAGGTGACTAGCCATGTGTCACTGCGACATAAGAGGAGCAACATTGTGAACTCAAGTTGTACTCCAGTCAAGTTGCTATCCCTGGAGAGCTGCCATCATCTACAATCGAGAAATTGTACGATGGCCATTGTACGATATCAGGTTAAAGAAACCTTAAGGAGGTTTGTGATAGATCACTGGAGACACCACCATTCTCATTGGAAACATCTCCATTTTCACTGGAATCATCACCATTTTTACTGGAAGCATCACCATTTTCACTCGAATCATCACCATTTTGGATGAAGTGGCAGGGTAGAGGGTGAAGTGGGTAAGATGACAAGAGCTCTCTATAGTGAGACTGAGGCTGTTAACTCTGCCAAGTCTGCCATGGTGATGTCAAACAGATTATAGGAAAGGTCCAATCAGAGGAAAGGCTATAGGCTACTCCTTTAATTGGCCGGTTCATATACAGATTTATTGAAGCTGGAGACTAACAGCATCATGCTGGAGTCTGGGTTGTTCACGATTTAAGGTATTCTGAGCAGGCTTCTTGCTATAGCCAGTCGTGCTCGACCACTTACCCAACGTAAAAGTAACGTGATCTAGAATCCTGGCTACATGAAGTAATGCTACCTGCACCATCACTTAAATGTAACCACCACAAACCCAGAGTTGTTTGTGTTAATTATATATAATACGTGGAGGTTGCCGCGAGCCGACTTCAGGTCGCAGATTACTGCAGCTACCACTCGGCCCTCTTCATTCCTGGAATTTCCTCATGCCTGTGGCTCGTGAGTCTCGAGTCTCTGCAGTTGCAGATGCTTTACTGCAAAAATCTTCCATCTACAGTCACAGTGAGGATAATGTGTGAAAGAGAAAAGTGTTGTTGTGATCTTAATGGAAAACGCGTAGTGTTAAATTTTGTATTAAAGTGATCTTGCATTCATATTTTGCCCGAAGGGTATAGCACAGTTCGACTATCACTTTTCAGCACCTGGACAAGTGGATGCTGAATCTTGAAGACTTGAGGATAGCCTAACCTAACCTCGGTGTACCCAGTATTGAGCGAGGTATTCTCACTTGTACCGTTAAGCATAGGTTTGTCTCATGTGATTTTTTGGGCATAGTGAACAGATAGGGCATAGTGAACATGGGCCTGTCTCATGTGATTTTTTATGGCAGATAACCATGCATGATGAACATAAAAAAAGAAGAAAGAATAATGAAAGAAATAATCCGTAAAGGAGTAAAAAGCACAACTCCTACCCAAATCTTCTTCCTTTACGATGTACTCCTCACCTATTTATATTATGTACCTGACCTTCCTATTGGTATAAATCCAATACGCCCAGTACTGTCCCATCACTTGAGAATTTACCATGTAGGTTCGAAACGTTGTGTAAATTTATAATAAGTGTAATACATTCTACAGTTAATTATTTATTTTTCTTCACCTCGAACAAAGATGACAAATGAAGAAATCCTCTTCCAATTAAGTCAAGATGCAAGAGCACTAGTCAGAAGGATAAAAGCCCTGAACAAGAAAATAATCAATACAGAATATGCAGTTATATTCAATGAAACATGTGTATATATATATATATATATATATATTAGTATATTTTGGTAGCAGTCTTTCCTGTAGACATATATTATTAAATATGACCGAAAAAGTAAGATTAATAATTCGAACACGAATTTTCTCAATCTTTCGTACATTACGCTTCACTGTTGGAGGTAAATCAAAAATCACTTCTCCAAAATTCATTTTTATTTCTAGTCTGACGCGACACGGGCGCGTTTCGTAAAACTTATTACATTTTCAAAGACTTCACAAATACACAACTGATTAGAAATTGCGTTTCCCTGATTTTATATCTACATTTGAGTGAGGTGGGAAGGGTGATGTGGCATTACATTTGAGTGAGGTGGGAAGGGTGATGTGGCATTACATTTGAGTGAGGTGGGAAGGGTGATGTGGCATTAACACAAGACAGAACACTAGGGGATATTAATAGGGTATTAAAAGTATCAACACAAGACAGAACAGAAACAATGGGTATTGAATAGAAGTGTTTGTAGAAAGCCTATTGGTCCATATTTCTTGATGCTTCTATATTGGAGCGGAGTCTTGAGGTGGGTAGAATATAGTTGTGCAATAATTGGCTGTTGATTGCTGGTGTTGACTTCTTGATGTGTAGTGCCTCGCAAACGTCAAGCCGCCTGCTATCGCTGTATCTATCGATGATTTCTGTGTTGTTTACTAGGATTTCTCTGGCGATGGTTTGGTTATGGGAAGAGATTATATGTTCCTTAATGGAGCCCTGTTGTTTATGCATCGTTAAACGCCTAGAAAGAGATGTTGTTGTCTTGCCTATATACTGGGTTTTTTGGAGCTTACAGTCCCCAAGTGGGCATTTGAAGGCATAGACGACGTTAGTCTCTTTTAAAGCGTTCTGTTTCGTGTCTGGAGAGTTTCTCATGAGTAGGCTGGCCGTTTTTCTGGTTTTATAGTAAATCGTCAGTTGTATCCTCTGATTTTTGTCTGTAGGGATAACGTTTCTATTAACAATATCTTTCAGGACCCTTTCCTCTGTTTTATGAGCTGTGGAAAAGAAGTTCCTGTAAAATAGTCTAATAGGGGGTATAGGTGTTGTGTTAGTTGTCTCTTCGGAGGTTGCATGGCTTTTCACTTTCCTTCTTATGATGTCTTCGATGAAACCATTGGAGAAGCCGTTATTGACTAGGACCTGCCTTACCCTTTTTTTACCTGCCTGAATTTTGGAGAAGTGATTTTTGATTTACCTCCAACAGTGAAGCGTAATGTACGAAAGATTGAGAAAATTCGTGTTCGAATTATTAATCTTACTTTTCGGTCATATTTAATAATATATATATATATATATATATATATATATATATATATATATATATATATATATATATGTATATATATATATATATATATATATATATATATATATATATATATATATATATATATATATATATATATACATATATGTATATATATATATATATATATATATATATATATATATATATATATATATATATATATATATATATATATATATATATATATATATATATATATATATATATATATATATATATATATATATATATATATATATATATATATATATATATATATATATATATATATATATATATATATATATATATATATATATATATATATATATATATATATATATAATGTTACATCAGTAATTTTTTTTTAAATTTGGTGATCAAAATTTGACAAATTAAATCTGTTCACAGTCTCAGTTGTCTCTAATTTGATGTTTTCCTCCTTTCAGGTGTTTATATCTTGATAACAACCTTGATAAGTGCAAGATATGGTTGTTTATGGTTGTTATCTCGATAACAAGTACTTCTTGTTATCTCGATAACAACCCCATCTTGCAGTTGTGTGTCTCGCCAGCCACTTCCTTGAGACGCAGATGATCAGCTCTCACCAGTAGGACCGTCACACATACTCCGAGGAACTTAACTTACCGCTAAGAAACTCACTTCAGCAGCTCAACTTTGTCACTGCTCGCACGATGACGGTGAGTGTCACAGAACTCGCTGATCGCTTCACATGGATCGACTACATGGTGTTCGGTCTCATGTTGGCTCTATCGGCTGCCATCGGTATTTTCTACGGATGTTTCAGCAAGAAGCAGGACACCAAGGAGTTCCTCATGGCTGGCAAGTCCATGACCACCTTCCCCGTGGCCATGTCTCTCATTGCCAGGTAAATATACATTATGCCGCGATCTTCTTATTTTATGCCCCTAAGAGAAGTACTTTTTCACTGAAAAACGCCAAAATGTCCCAATGATAAATACATAGTTTAAAACTAAAGTAAATGCTAAGTTTATATACCCCGAAAATCACAGTTCACTTTTCGTTGTATATATGTACAACGATATATATATACTACAATACACATGTGTATTGTAAACCTCTTCACAATGCCTGTGTTGGTGCTAGGCTTTATCAACTGCGAGAGGGTTATTAAGTCTACTATTATAGTTTACTGACCAACCAGCAAGAACAATTTAGTCCTAAACATAGTCGATGCCTAAAATAAACACTCAGCGTATGTACTAAACAAAAAGTTACCTATTTGTAAGTTTATAAGCTGCATATGTTCTGTGTTCTTTCAGCTTCATGTCGGCCATCGCGCTGCTGGGGATGCCGTCGGAGATCTACCAGTTTGGAGCCAGCTACTACCTCGTCACCTTCTGCTTCGTGCTGGTCATGCCTGCAGCCGCCTACCTCTTCTTCCCAGTCTTCTACAACCTCCAGGTATACTTGACATTGCTGCAATATTGATCAGCCCCTAAATATTTAGGGGGGCTGATCATTTCTGTTTATGATCGTAATAACTCAGAAAACGATACGAAAATCATTTTTTTTTAGCATGCTAATTTTAATATGAACCGTACACTATATCTTATTTTAGATCACTAATGTCTACACGGGAAGGAAAGGATGGGACCCTCTCCCACCATTTCCTTTCTTTCACTGTCTAATATGATATATTAGACATTTCATATTTAAATTCCCATGATATGAGTTACGCTTCCGAAATTTTCTCTAATATTATATTCTTAAATATGTGGGGTTATGTCCTAACCTGACCTCTTACCAAGAACTTCGTATTTCGATCGTATGCGTTTCATAAGGCCATGCATATTGTAAGTGATGAGTGCGAGAAGAAAGTTGTGGTGGCAGCAGTTTATGAAACTGGTGTATTTTGTTTCTATATTGGCAACTGGAGGTCAAACACTTGCAGTTAGCCTCTCGCAACTTTCCATGGTGAATTGTGATTGTATGGCGAGTGTCAGGGAGAGTGGGATGAGAGGAAGGGACAGACTTTGAAGCAGGGAAGGGAGGGAGAATGAGAGGGGGTATGGGAGACTGTGAGATAGGGAGAATAATGGAGAATCAGAAGGGAAAATGCGAGAGAGGGAGAGAAATGGACAGAGAATCTAGCACCACCGGGTATTCCCTTTAGTATGTGCAGTACATCTGCACGAGAGATAATCTTTGCCTGTCCAAGGTTTGTGGCTAAGTGCATGAGGCTAGCCTCGCCTAACTTCACATGCTTGACGTCACAATTTCGTGAATAAGTGAGAGATAATTTAATTTCTGACGAACATTTGCAATAAAATTGTGCTTAAAAATATATAAATTAATTATGGCAAGAAAATAAGATAAAGATCGCATGTTTTATATGACCCTAACAGATGTTTTCCCCTTTCTTGTAGTTTCATGTCCGCCATCACGCTGCTAGGGACGCCGTCGGAGGTCTACCAATTCGGGTTCATCTACTGGCTTATTATATTCTCCTACATGCTGGTCATGCCTGCAGCTGCCCACCTCTACTTCCCAGTCTTCTACAACCTCCAGGTACACATGGGTTTACTTTTATAGTGTTCAAACGCTAATTATCATGTTTAGGGGGTACTAGTTGAGAGGATGACTGGAAACACTGCACTTATGATTTCAGTACAGACGATAGAGTATGTTATGCTATAGAACATGTACATACAAGTATATGTACAGTGTATGGGAAATATGGCGGAGCTGTGTAGGGGGGCCATGCCCCCCCCCCTCCATATTCCTCACAAGCCCCAACTTGCTGACAGATATATAATTATGTCAGATAACACTTACATTACATCTGATATCGGATAACTCATTGTAATTTAATTGATATCAGATGTAATTAGATTCATTACTTTCTCACAATATAATTCACAGTGAATTATATTGTGAGAAAGTAAAGGATTTAATACCTTTAACACAAATGTAAATATACTGCTTAACTGTATATGTAAATATACCCCCCTTAACTTAGACCTCACGAAAATTATTACATATAATATACATTACTACTTCAGTGAGTTTGATTAACAGATGTGGTGAAATTTGATTCATGTTCAGTGCACTCAAATTAAGATATTTTAATTGTCAACAAATCAATAAAACTGGGTGTAAGTCGCCCCTGAAGTGTTATTATGAGTGTAATTGTGAGTTTGACCAACAGGTTACTTCCGCCTACGAGTACCTTGAGAAGCGGTTCCACAGAGCAGTCCGGTGGCTGGGCTCCTTCGTGTTTATCATCCAGGTGTGTAAGGCGGCTGTGTGTGTGTGTAGGATTGTAGCCCCAGATACCTGCAACAAACAAGGTTCCATTTGTGAGTCTTTGTCTCTGATGAATTACTTTCAATCGTCAATAAAAGGGAAGTGATTAACATGAACTTGTTTTACTGTGTGGGGCCAGATGTCGCTGTACATGGCCATCGTGGTGTACGCTCCAGCACTCGCACTGGCTCAGGTCACCGGCTTCGACGTCTACGTCTCCGTCAGCCTCATCTGCTTCGTCTGCATCTTCTACACCACTCTTGGCGGCATGAAGGCTGTCCTCTGGACCGACGCTCTCCAGGTTAGTCGCCGTCTGCATTCATGCATCTTATATGCTTCCTTGGGTCTCTCTCTCTTTATTTTCCCCCCCTCCCCACTAATCTGCGGAAAGCACACGCCCTATTTTAATTTCATACTAATTAGAAATCGCACGTGTCGTTATAGGTGCCGATATTTCTTAAAAACATGGCACTTAGGCTGAACCTGACTAGAATGTAACATTCGTATACCATCCATGTTACAGTCTGAAAAGTTTAGTGAGGCTACCTCCGACCGTCTGTCCTGCTACTTTGGACACACATTGTTTTATAGATATAGATTGTTATCCGCATTGCCCTGTAACCTAGCTGCCTTAAATTGATTGGCTTTTTATAGTCAATAAAATAAAAAATTATTTATAATTTTTTGTCAGGATATATATTAAGGGCTCACAACATATGCAGGCGATGAGTCGCAATAACGTGGCTAAAGTATGTTGACCAGACCAGACACTAGAAGGTGAAGGGACGACGACGTTTCGGTCCGTCCTGGACCATTCTCAAGTCGATTGTGACTTGAGAATGGTCCAGGATGGACCGAAACGTCGTCGTCCCTTCACCTTCTAGTGTGTGGTCTGGTCAACCGACTCACAACATAGTTTTATTAATGGCTGCTCTTGATTAAGAAATTTACTATTTCTTAACAATGAATTTATTTTTGAGTTAAAAGTAATAAATTTGAGCAGACCTAACCTACCTTCCTTAACATAATTAAGTCGTTCATGTGACGTACTCTAGGATAGTGCAGCAACTATCCCGGCAGGTGTTGTGTGCTAAATCTAAATCTTAACAGCAACAACAACGTCAGACAGGTGAGGTGGCGGGGTCTGGAACAAGAAGCCAGCAGAGTAACGATCGTTAACGAGGGGAGAAATGGGAGCTGGCAAGCCGCAGGTGGGCGGCTCTCGTGGAAGGTAGGGTGGTGTGGGGGAAGAGACTGGATAATACGTTTTGGAACGTATTGCTAGCGATTCTTTATGTTGAAGAGAGCATGCTGGTAATCCACTACTATGCCGGGGATAACCGTAACAGTCACTAATTCGTTCTTAATCTAATAGAATAATATTAATTAGAATAAACCAAAGACATATGGGGTCTCGCATACTAGGCAAAGTAGTGCGGTTCTTGCTATTAGGTACGAAATACATATGAACACTTTCTGTTTATTGTCACTGTACATATATATATATATATATATATATATTGGTATGAAGTTTTAACCAAACACGGATAAGGATACAGAACACATAAGAATAGTAATTATGTGGTTTCTTCCAGACACTCATCATGTACGCCAGTATCATATTCGTCATCATCAAGGGCGCTATTGACGTTGGAGGATTCAGTACCGTCTGGGAGAGGAATGTTGAGAGCGGCCGAGCACAGCTGATCGACTTCGACCCGGATCCCACCACCAGACACACCTTTTGGACGCTAGTTATTGGAGGTTATTTCACCTGGATCTCTATCTATGGCGTCAACCAGGCGCAGGTACGGTCTCCGCTTGCGTGTTTACGTTGAAAATTCACCACTCCCTGTTATGATTTTTCTGGGCAGTCATTATTTTCTTTATCATGCTAGGAAATTTTCATTTTTATGTGTGTATAGGTAATGTAGTATTACCTATACACCGCCAGGATATCAGAGTATCCTGGCGGGCGCAGTACGTTTCTTATCGTCTGTAAGTACTTTTGGACCCATTTGTCTTGGTGGAAAAGTTGTATTTTCCAGTTCCGCATTGTTAAGCTTCTATTTTCAGGTGATAATTCATAAACTGATTTTAAATACTGATGTTTAGTTTAGAATCCCAACCTGTCTGGGTTCTAATGCACGAGAAGTGATGCCTGCTCCAGTCCACAGTCTTCCAACACCATCGCCAAAATCACATGACTCGAGTACACCCCCTGATTGGGTGACCATCTTGAGCAAAGACCTGTAGACATGAACGTCCTCATCCTGGACCTTAGAGCTGATATTCAACGTCTAAGGAAAATCTGGCGCTAAACGACACGTCACCCGATGTGTTTATTCTGATTTTTATGTTTAGGCTACCACCCGTAAAACTGTAAATATAAAATTTTAGTCACAATTCTAAACATCCAAGGAATGTTATGGGGGACTGCAGGTCCGTAAGTCTTGACACGTGGTACCTTGTTTGCACTAGTACTCACCAAAGCAAAACGCTCTTGTATGTAAGCAAATTATAATGGCTGAAGACTCTCGTACAGTTTTCTGTCGCCATCATCATGTGACAGCTAAGGTTGTAGGGAATATTCAGTAGCTGTCTATTTTATAGTGTCTTGAAATGCTATATGAATTAAGTATTTGTAATATAAAACTCATTTGGTATTTTGCATTCTATTCATGATATAGAATTTAATGTAATCTCTCACACACATATTTATCTGTGTAGGTGCAGCGATACCTCAGCGTCCAGACAAAACAAATGGCCATCAACGCCTTGTGGATCAACTTAGTGGGACTGGTTATATTGATGGTTACCTGTTCTTTCGGCGGGATGGTTGTGTACGCAAAGTACTATGACTGTGACCCCATCCAGGCTGGAGTTGTCACCAAGGCAGACCAACTCTTCCCGCTCTTCGTCTTGGACACCCTCGGACAGTGGAAGGGACTTCCAGGACTCTTCGTTGCTGGCATATTCGCCGGCACTCTCAGGTATGATTGCTCCCCTTGTAAAGTTTTCATGAAATAATTTAAATATATATTGCAATTCAACAGTTTGAGATAGTTATAGCAAGCAGGAATGCTCTTGATAGTATCCGAGATTGTATTGATACAAAGAAACGTATGAGTAGATTACCATTTCGAATTGAAAATGCCAATGTTTCCGGTGTTAATTACTCTATTGTTGTCTTTCAGCACTGTTTCTTCCGGGATGAACTCCCTGGCGGCCATCGTGTTGGAGGACTTCGTCAAGAGCGGGTGTTATCCAGGCATCTCCGACAACGCCAGCACCTGGGTCTCCAGGGGCCTCTCCCTCTTCTTCGGTCTCCTTACCTTCGCTCTCGTCTTCGTGGCGGAGCGACTCGGCAACATTTTGTCTGTGAGTAACCACACAACTGGCTGGTGATTTTCTAAGTTATATTTAAAAAAGTTAAATATCGAATGAATTTGCTTTCATCGGTTTTTGTGTTGGATTTAAAGCCACCATAACAGCTTACTTAGCAACCAGCATGTATACATTATTCCTGAACATAATCCAGGGCTAAGGTTATCTCTGTATGTACACTGTTCAATGCTTTCTGATGTGTTGAACATCCTGGCTGTTGGTGTTGTGTTTACTCAGGGTGTATTATATGTTTACCTGAATTTGCCTGAGGGCCACTATCTCACAAGTGGCCTCGACGAGGACAGGAAGCCGGCGGCTAGTCAAAGGTTCACCCATTTATCCTAATTTTAAAATTCAGCGGTTTTTGCCAATTACGTCTACGGCGCGTAGGCTGTTCCATGGGTTTATAATCCTATGAGCAGACTCAAGGATGTTACTCCTGTACTGCTCGGTTTAGACTACTATAAATATCTCTGGGAATTTTCATTACCTGCTGGTATAGACCCTACAAGATGTGAACTGTTAACAAAATTATTCGTACACCCTTTGTCATTGTCATGGAGTGCGAAAATTTACTAGAGATCATTCTATTATAAATTTATAATGTGTGAATTTAGATTTAGAATTTAGTGGCTTCAACTACTACAAATGTTCAAGAAATGTGACATGGCTATGGCAAATGTGGCAGGTTTACCACATCTATCTTACGTTACCTCTGATTCCACATAGGCAGGAGACGAGCTACATATAGCAAACTAGAGGTAAATTCTATGTTCCTTAAGGGACAGCACACCCCACTTAACTATATTTTGTTTTAATATACTGTATACAAGAGTTCTTACATTCTTGTACAGCCACTAGCGCACACAGCCACAGAGACGTTAGAAAGAATTTTTTCAGTGTCAGAGTAGTTAATAAATGGAATGCACTAGGAAGTGATGTGGTGAAGGCTGACTCCATACACAGTTTCAAATGTAGACATGATAGAGGCCAGTAGGCTCAGGAATCTGTACACCAGTTAATTGACAGTTGAGAGGCGGGACCAAAGAGCCAAAGCTCAACCCCCGCAAGCACAATTAGGCGAGTACAGCGTTTCGGGAAAGTCCTTAATCTAATATTCCCCGGAATATGACCCGCCAAATCGTTTAACAATCAGGTACCCATTTTACTGTTGGGTAAACAGAGGCTATAATTAAGGATTGATGCCCAATAAATCCTTCCCAGCCAGGATACGAACACAGGACAAGGCGCTCGCGAAATGTCTGACAGTGTGTCTTGCCACTACAATTTTTAATTTCGCTTGGGTAAGTCATTCCACAGTTTAGGATCCTTGATTTACAGAGCATTTTTTTTTTTTTTACTTAAGGTTAAGTCACACTCTTTGGATATCAGATAATTTATCTTGTGATGTTCATGGGTTCTGTTACTGCCTTCAGGAAGTGCTTAAGATCAGGATTAGCATTGCAGTGGTTTTGTATCGATAGAACACACTTGCGAGGATGTGCAGTGACTTTATAGTTAAGTATCGAGATATCTTAATCGTGATACTTTATCGAGATTTCCGGGTTACAATCCCTGACGGGACAGAAATAATAGGCACATTTCCTATCACCTGATCATCACCCTGTCCACGTAGCAGTAAATATGTACCCAGGAGTAACTCAGCTTGTTGTGGGGTTGCATCCTGGGAAGGCAGCAGTTATTCGAACCTCGATATAAACCTAATATGTACTGTATGTATAAACTGGCTGCCTATCACCCGACACAATGAATTAACATAGTCAAGGATTTCAGTAAGGGAACCCAGTGCTGTCTGGGGCATAACTGTAGGTAGGTAACCTACACTGAGTGAGCTTGCTAACTGTAGGTAGTAACTAAGTGATTGTAACCTATCCACCACTGCCCACTGGATGGGGGGCGGTGTGCAGGACAAACATATAAATTTTGACACTAGCTCTCCACATATGTCAGTTGCTTAATTTAGAACCTGTACTTGAGGTCGATCTCGAACCCATTGTTGATGTGATGACTTATATTGAATTTTGTAACTAGCTCATCAAGATTGTAACTTGCTTAGCTAAATGAATTGTGGGGTTCAGTCCCTGAGCCCATTATGTGCCTCTGTAACCCTTTCCACTACCGCCCACAAGATGGGTATGGGGTGATTAAAAATGAACTAAACTACAACTAACTGTCTGGGGCAAGTTTTGTAATGGCTCAGATTGCTTAAGCCTATTTGTGCATGTAGGGGTAAGCATGCATGTGTGAAAAGAGTGTATTGGGTACAGCGCCAATGTACCTGTCACAAAGAAGATATCTAAAAAAAATAATTACTCTGTATTACATTGCAGGCAGCGTTGAGCATCTTCGGCATGGTTGGAGGGCCTCTGCTGGGAGTCTTCACCCTCGGCATGTTCTTCCCTTGGGCCAACGCCACCGTAAGTCATTCAAGCGTCAGAATTCATTGTTGCACTGACAGCCAGTTATATCTCAATATAATCAACAGGAAATTCTTATCTCACATAAAGACTGAGTCAGTCCTAACCCTGAAGAAGAGTTCTCTTAACATAATTATATGCACAAATACATAAACATGAATTGAGAAATAATTAATAAGGACTTATGAAGTAAATACAGTATGTGCAACAATGGTGTTCTGGCCACCCTTGGACCTGAACCCCAGACTTCTTGCTGGGTAGAATACAAACCACTAGATCACACTGATATTTGACCATTTTGAACCACATTGAGGAATTCCATTCATTTCAAATGTAAATTATGAATGATACTAGCATCAGATCATGTAAAGAAATATATATATCTAAAACCATTCACAACATTTTATACTTTTAATGGCACGCATCCTACAGGGAGCCTTCGTTGGTGAAATTGTCAGCTTGATCTTCATGTTCTGGATAGGAGTAGGTCACCAGATGGGAAAGGCCTCGGGGCAGATCAAGCTAGAATCCATGCCCACTAGCATAGACGGCTGTCAGAACCTCACCATTCTTGAGCCCGCCTTCCTGCATGAACAGTAAGTAGCCTCACTCTCTAGTTCCACTTTTAAAAACATAACACATGAAACATCAGTGGGCTTTTTGGACCATGCGAGGCAGTTCCAATCCTTATAGTCACTCTTGCACGTGTGTTGCCTGTATTGCGTGTTCCCACATCCATTGTTATTTGGGAAAAAATTAGTACTGTATTTTTGTTTATGAAATACTGTACTAAATGGTGTACCCGGTTGCACCTGGGTCGTTCTACTCCTTCTGAATCCCTCCCCCCTGCCTCTCTCTCTCTCTCTATAGATAATTATATAACATGAGTAAAGTGATTGTTAATGTTTTTTGCCACAGTGGTGATGAGGAGCCAGGTGAGGCGCTGGCCTTGTACCGCTTGTCTTACATGTGGTACTCTGCGACGGGCTGCTTCACCGTGATCATCGTGGGGATGCTGGTGACGCTGGTGACTGGTAAGCAAGATGTGCGGGCTGTTGACCCTCGCTGTCTCTCCCCCGCCGTCATGTGGTTCAAGAACTGGCTGCCAGGACTCAATGGTCTCGGAGAAGACTACGTGAGTATCTCCTTCAGGTCTTTTATGCATATAATGTATAATTTAAAGTTGGCATTAACCCTAAGCCATAAAATTTAGTTAGGCATTCCTTAGGATGTGAAGAATTAACTAAAAAAGTAATTTGTAAATTTTTAGATAAATGATGACAAGTTCAGATAAAATAAGTAAAATATTCCAGGAGCAATAGTCTGTGGCAAGATAAGACAGAGGGATTTACCCAAGAGTAAAATATAAATCATTGAAACTGAACCATTTAGGAATTTCAGCTTTAAATATCAATTAAGTACCACACTGTTAGCTAGAATTTCCATTAACAGTATTAAATGTTTTCTGATCCTCATAGTGATAAACATAACATTCTTTACATAATTTTGATGCTTGTTGGCATTTGTAAAATTATTTTGCCAATAATGCCTAGAGATAAAGTGCAACCATGGCACCAACACACATACCTGCAAGCTATCAACCAATTGGTAGCGAGTGCTTGGTTAAGTTAACATGGCTGTAATATTGACATGAACAGCTTATTTTACAACATTTTAAGGTTAGCAGTAACTTCTAAAGAAACTTTATGTCAGTGTCTTATGCACTCAGAGCAGTGTTCAGTTATCAGTGAGAATAACCAATAACTTTGAACACAAATATACAGTAATTGTTCTTTGCTATATATAGCATATATTAATATACATATGTATGTTTTTTTTTTTTTTTGTATAGATTGATGAAGAGGAATGCCTGAAGGAGAGCAAGAGCTCATGCTCATTGGGAACCTCCAACACTTTTTACAACTCAAAAATTGCTGAAGAAATGTTAAATGATTTTATACCCGAGAAAGAATGTACAAAGTTGTAAATAAATATATATATAATATATATTAGATGTGAGAAAGCTGCAGGAACACACAAGCCATAGATCACAGACAATCATTGGTGCAATGGTCATGGTACAGTACTGTGTACGTTTAGGGGTGATCCTGGACGGATCAATTGGAGTTCTTGGTGATAGAGATGTATGTGTATGTATATGTGATCACATATTACAATACTTATATAATAGCCACATTGCAAAACACACTCAAGGAATACGTACTGCTCAATAAGATACTTCAGTAATACTCACCGGTCAAAATTAAGGCATCTTCTCAGGTCAAGGGGCTTCCAGTCCATACAAGATGTACTTCACATCTCCATGTATACACTGAGCATTTATTTTAGTCTTGAAGCATGCTCAAGACCCACATATACTGTCTTGTTGGTCAGCAACGTATTGTGGTGGTCTTAATAACCATTCAGAGGTTGAAAGATCTTGGGCCACATTCCAAACCAACTGATAAGACTAATGCAGATACTAGCCAATAGGTGCATTTTATGGGTCATACTGAGTTTATAATTATCACCAGTTAGCTAGTGATATAAATATTCCTAATAACATAGCACCTAACTTTATAGCAAAGTTTAATTTGGCATTATGACCTGGGGTGTCTTAATTATTGTATAATGCCTAATTAGCATCAGTCACTGGAAATGTTACCCTAATCTCTTGACTAGGGTCAAGAGATTAGGGTAACATAAGGGGCCACATAAGAGAAATGTTGCAACTGTCATTTTCCAAGATTTTGGTTTACATTTGTGATTATTATTATATTTCAAACTCATTCACATTGCTACAAAGACAATGTGATTTTATATTATATGATTTTATATTATATATGATTATATATTATACAGTGGAACCTCGAATGACGAGCGACTCCAGTTACTAGCATTTTGAGTAACCAGTGAGCCACTCGCAGAAAATTTGTCTTGATTGATGAGCAAAAGCTCAATTAACGGGCAAACTACATGGTGCTTCCTAATATTCCCGCTGGTTCTCGAACGCCTCCGACGACAGTGTTGTTGTTTTGCAAGACGAGCATTTCGCATGACGAGCTCGGTGCCGGAACGGATTAAATTCGTTAATCGAGGCACCACTGTACATGATTTTATATTGTATATACAGTAGTTTTATTATATACTGTATGTATATAAGTATCAATATCAACTGTTTTATCTATATTAATTTCTTATATTCCTCCTACAATAATATTATTGACTTCATTATTGAATTGCTATAAAAAAGAACCATTCATTATAGGGGAGAAAAATTCGGTAAAAATTTACATTGGTAATGACATTGCTAATATTCCATGGGATAATTAGTGAATAATTATTTTAAATTATCATACATCTATTTATGCCAATGTTATCAAACAGAAATTGTGTAGTGGCAAAGGTAAAAAATATCTGCCATTGGTGGCCGAACAGATTTCTGTGTTTATATTGCATATTTGCTATTTTTTGTTTGTGATGCATTGGCATTCATACTTATTTGTAAGCAATATTTTTATGTACAAACATGCATGCGTATATTATGTGTATGCATGAACAGAAGAATGAGTGTATTGTATGCATTCGAGGTATATATTGCAGTTAAAGTATGGCTGGGAAAAAGTGTAATTTATGAGGCAAAGTGAATAGTATCTAACCGAGGTACTTGAAATGTTGTGAAAGGTATGTTAAATTATTTATAAATTGTTACATAGACTGAAAAACATTTGGCAAGGATTTACTTACGTGCCAATTTATACAAATGGGAACATGGACCAGAGAATATGACAATTTTTTTTATCAGTGTATAGGAATATCAACCCTTTTCTGTACCTTATGCACAAACAATAACAAAGTTCTTAAACTTTCAGTCTATGCAGAGTCCAGATTTATATTTTATATATTTCCATAATAATCATGTAAGTATGTTAAGCAGTATGAATATTAGATTTTAAAATACAGTACTACAATTAGCATACAGGTCACTACAGTAAAAAATAGTTACTAAGTTGTAATTATATTCCACACATTTTACTGACCATCTTCAAATGAATGTATCTTTAATTCTGTAAACCATATTTCAAGTATTTAACAAGTTTGGTATGACCACTTAAGTTTCATCCCTATGTTTTTGGAGTACTACTGCCATAGACTGCTGGTTAGTCAATATAATCACTGATATTAGTTTAGCTAATACCACAAGACAGTCAAACTGTGAAGACAAATTCAATAGACAACAAATGCTCTCTACATATAACTACTTCATCTGCAGTCATATTGTTACACAATTGGTCAAAGGTACTATGATATACTGACTAGTTACATCTTTCTGTGATGGCACTCTGCGGTCTTCAGAGCAGAGATATAAGCACCCTCACTCTGTGATGTCAAACTGGACACTGATGTATATTTCCAAATTATGGACAATCTCACTGATGAATGAAGTCATAAGTTTCCTACCATCAGTTGCACGAGACCACATGATCTGTAAAGCATCAGCAACAGATGTGATATTAGAGCTCTACCAGTCGCTATCTTGTTTGACTACCTTAGTACTGTATTGTAATGACTAATAAATAAAAATGCCAAAGTTACTGTTAATTTTTGTGTAACCTTTTAAGGTGTATATATATATACATTAAATTATTAACAGTAGTCTAATTGTTTCATGCAATAGCAGCAAAAGCTGTATGTTTTATTGTTTTAAGCTTATAATATTGTGTGCATATTAGTGACACGAATGTACTTTAGCATTCCGATGTTCAACGCATTTCATTATATAAATTTATCAAATAAGCTATTGAATAATATTACCCAGAAAAACAAATCAGACATTGAAATAAATATTAAAAAGAAAACAAAAAAACTTTGCAGCCTTACTGTTGCCGAGCTGGGCAGACCGCACTGGGGTAGATGTTGAAAGAATGCTCATGAATCGCCTGACTTCAGGGCTTCACTGTGGCGATAAGTCCTTTGCATTTTTTTGTAATCATTTTTCCCATGATCAGGGAACACATTTTAACAATCAGAAAAAATTGTTAACTTATTTTTTTTCTGTGCACTGGTGGGATATTGTCTAAAAACAGTGGGCGTAGTGCTGAGGTTAATGGCAGAAAGTTATTACGGGTATAACATATGACTGAAAAATTACAAGAAGCAATTCAAATTTCATTCATTTACATATACAGACATATAATGTCTAATCTTCTCATGCCAAGAGCTTGAATGTCTGTGTTTTATCTGTGTATGTCTTGAACCATTCATTAACCAAGAAGTAGAATGGTTCCTCAATTCCTTTCCTGTCTTTCTGTGGATTAGAAATGTAAATTGTTATTAAAAACAGCTTGCAATAAGAAGTTTTGTCAAATATAATAACAATGTGCAACATATACACTCCGCTCCCAACTTTGCACATAGATGTACAGTATTCCCAAATACTTTGTGGAAATCTTATCTCGGAAGACTTTAATCTTATAAGTAAAAAAAAAAAATTAATTCCTTTTGGTTAATGACAGGAAGCCTGTGTATATATAATTGAGGCTTGTATTGAGTTCTCCTCCCCCCCCCCCTCCCCCATCCCTGCCCAGGTCAAACTACTGACCATCTCTAAGATGCAACGCCACAATAGTTTTCAGATTATTGAGTACCTATTTACTGCTAAATGAAGAGAGGCATTATGTGAAAAGTAACTTACCCAACCATATCTGTCCGGCCCGGGAAACAAACACAGGATCTCTGATTTTGAATCGAGAACAAAGACAACTGTAGTACCGATGTGTCATACTTACCTGTTTGATACCTGCTTGATGGGAGTTCTTCCACTCCCCAAGCCCGGCCTGAGGCCAGGCTTGACTTGTGAGAGCTTAGTCTAACAGGCTGTAGGTTGGAGGGGCCCACACATCCACCAGAGTCCGGTTAGTTCGGCACTTCCTGGGTCAGTCAAGGTCTGACCGTGCTCCTCCTCAGCTCATCGCAGAGTTGTTGGACACTGGCGTGGTCAAGTTAACCCCCCCTGCTCTGCCGTGGGTGTCCCAGTTGTTCCCGGTTCCCAAGTTGGACTAGACAAACCTACGGTACATTCTCTACCTTTCAGCTTTTAATTATTTCATTCCCTGTCCAACTTTCTGCCTGAACCTCCTTAACTCAAGTCTGTCTGGAATTGCAGCCAGATTTCTGGATGGATACCGGAGTACAATCTTTGCAGGCATGACAGGAAAAACAGACTACAGGATAGAATCAGCCTCTACATTAAAGATACACTCATCTGCACTGAGCTGCTAAACACCACAAACAATATGATGGAAGTGCTGATAATCAAAATAGAAAACATAAATTTGGCTATTGTCCTTATATATAAATCATCAGATGCAAATCCTCAGAGGTTTAAAGGCCAACTTATTAAAACTGCTTAGAAAATCTCACTATTCTTGCCCTGAACATCATCTTGCTTAGTGATTTCAACTAACGGCATATAAAATAGAAAAATGAGGCAAATACAGTACTGTTATACAAGAGAGTATCCCACCTACTTTGTTATCCTTCAGAATATATCAAAAGTTAAATGTCTATATAAGTCTTAATTCTTAAGAACAGCAAATATACTTACTGCTGATCCTTCCAAGTACACCAACCCAAGCTTTTGAGCCAGTTCTCTTCCTGCCTTCGGACTTATAAGACGTCTTGTTACAAGGTCGGTTTTATTGGCATAAAGTACTCCCTTAACAGCCTCTCCCTTTCCTTGCAAGTTTATCTGTAGAACATCAATACACAAAGAAAATCAGTAGGAGCCATGAGGAGGAGGATTCAAGCCCATGCACCTGGTACTCCCTACAGATTTTCTCATCGATACATCACACTAATGGGATTTCGTTGTGCAAATACTGTACACTAATGTAGATTTCTTTCAAAATATGTAGTATATACAGGTATTGTCAATAAGAAGGGCGAGTTTGTCAACACCTTAAGAATTTTTTCAGTATTTAATGTGTCATTTAAGATGTTTGGTTTGTGGATGACATGATAAAAGTTGCAAATAATACTGACTTGGTGTTAGGTGGCATTTAGTAAATCATTGCTCTCCTTTAGATGAGAAAGAGGAGTTGGCCTATAATGCTACCTCTAAGGAGTGCCAGTGTCAATTGGTAGTGCATGCAAAGTACTGTAAGAGCTCAGTTATTCAAATTCCAGTAACTTAAATCTACAAATAACCCAAATGATTTTGTGTTCATCGTTTTTCAGAAAATGGTGGGAGTAACTAGCTGTAGTACAAAAAATTGCAAATTTGTTCATTTTTGGACACTACTGGTAAGAAATTTGGTTCCTGTTATATACCTGTTGATGATTTCAAAGATCAGCATCCCTATGGCCCAATCTCTAAACAGGCCTCCTGGTTGGTGGTCTCGTCAACCAGGTTATTCGACATGGCTGCTCATAGCCTGATGTACGAGTCACAGCCTTGTTGATCAGGTATCCTTTGAAGGCCTTTGTCAAGTTCCTTTTTGAACACAGCAAGAGGTCAGCCAGTTATTCCTGGTATGTGTAGAGGGAGTGTTGAAAAGGCTTGTGCCTTTGATTTTTATCGATTTCTCTCTCAGCATGACTACTGTACTGCACCTCTGCTTTTCAGTGAGACTAATTTGCACATCCTGCATCATCCTTTAGGTATCATGTGGTGCTATTTCTGTGTGAATATTTGAAACCAGTCTTCTAATATTTTCCAAGTGTAAATTATTATGTATCTCTCCTGCCCATGCTCACGGGTTTACAGATTTAAAAATTTTAAGTGGCCCAATAGTTTAGATGTTTTATTGAGTAAATTCTAGCAGTAAAACATTTTTTGCATGCTCTCTAGGTCAGCAATTTCTTCGACTTTGAATGGGGCTGTTAATGTATAATAATTTTCCACTATAGAAAGAACAAGTCTTAAAAAGTATCCTCATTGGCAGAGCATATCATCTGCAAGGTTCTTGTTATCCAACTTGTCCTTTTTCTTGTAATTGCGACAGTAACTTTGTTGTTTTCTTTAAAAGTACGGTCTTCCAAGATGATTACTCCTAAATATTTTACAGTGCTTTTTCTCTCAAAAGTGTGGTCTGACTTTTTTTTTAAGTGGTTTCTTCCTTGATTATTTTTTCCATGATGCAGTAATTGCCACTTATCCTCATTAAACATCATGTTATTTTCTGTGACTCATTCAAAGACTTAATTAACATGAGATTAGAGATTTGACGTGTCCTCTAAAATTTTCATGAGAGTGGACAGTATAGTGTCATCTGCAAAGGATGACATAATACTATCGTTTGTCTCCTTGTCTATGTCTGATATGAGAATGAGGAAAAGTACTAGAGCAAGCAGTGTACCTTGTGGTATTGAGCTAGTCATAGTGGATGATTTTGATTATACTTTGTTGACTATTACACACTGGGTTCTGTTTGTTAGGAAGTTAAAGATCCATCTTCCTACTTTACCAGTAATGCCTTTCATCTGCATTGTGTGTGCAATAACACCATGGTCACATTTGTCGAAAGCTTTTGCAAAGTCTGTGTATATTATATCGGGGTTTTGTTTATCTTCCATGGCACCTAAGGCCATGTCATAGTGGTCTAGCGATTGTGAGATGCAGGACCCTGTTCTGAACCCATGTTACCCAGAGTTATGTAGACACTGTGATTCCATGTGTTTTGTGATCTTACTTCTTAGCACTCTTTCAAAGATTTTTATATGTGATGTTACAGCTATTGTTCTTTAATTTTTTGCATCAGTTTTACTAAACCCCCTTTGTGAGGTGGCACGATCTCCTCTGTTTTAAGTATGTCCGGGGTAACACCAACATCTAGGCTGTTATCTCCAAAAGATGTTTAAGACCTGTGATAGTGTTTTTTTACAACGCTTGATGAATACAGAATTCCAGGAGACTGGACATGGTGCAGGCCCACCGAACCTCCAGGGGGTTTCCAGGGCCTGCAAGGTAAAGCAAGCAAGACACCCAATCATTGGGATGTTATGCCGGACCTCTTAGTATGAGTATGCTAAGATAATATGAGAGCCTTAACTCAGTAAGGTTAACACAGTAACCAATGTGCACCACCAGCCAAATGGTACTTCCAACCCAAGTAAAGATATAAAAGCTTCGAAACTTCTGGCACACCTTGGGCGAGGCCACCACAACTGAAGAGAACCTCCAAAGGAGTGACTCCTGAACACTCCAGGGAAGATAACCCTGGCAATGTAAGGGCAGCACCAGGAAGCACACAGGGAAGATAACCCTGTGTAAATGCAGCTCCAAGAACTCTTAAATCCTAACTCAGGCCACACTACACTACACTGTATAAGAAATGCAACTAAGGCAAAAAGTACCACTTGGCTACAGCAGACCATCGGAGCTAGAGCTGAAGAGAGGCGACCTGACACCCACTACATCATCATAGAGCTGCAGTTGGAGATGCCAGCTGATCATGAACTGCCTATCCCCAAATGACTTGGAGGAGGTGGGGAAAATGAGCTTGCATGAGTTTCAAGAGGTTTCAATTGTTTGAGTTGGGAGAGATTTCCTGGCAGCTGCAGCCTTTTTTAAAGCCAGCACTGGTTTGTTTTGACTCGCAGACTTTTTGGTTGCCTTCTCTGGTGGTGGCATAAATAAATAAATGTCACCACTCCCTGCACCTCTGTGATGGGGGCCAGGTTCTGGCACTGGTCCCTGCTAGATCTACAAAACTCCAAGGATGATGCGACCTAGTAGATGGTACCCTATCATTATATGACGGGGTACCATCATAAATGAATAAATTTAACTTTACATAAATGAATTGTTTAAGTTTACATTTTCTTTCTGATACTGTACACTGTCCATGAAAATTTTAAATATTTGATCAATAGTTCATTGTTAGGACTAATGACTAATCCGGGAAATCTACTTTAGTTTTTGACACCAGTGACCTAGAACAGTTTGGGCTATGGTGTTATTAGTTGATACAAATTTGTCATCAAGTAGTGAGCTCATCACAAAAACAGATACAAACCTAGCAACTTCATAAGGAATATAATAACAAAAATCTGAAATAATGAAAGAAAACTTGTGCCACTACTAAGACGTACCTGCTCATAAAAGTTTGTTGCAGCCGTAAAGGAAGCTTCTGAAGTGACATCATACATAAGTATGAGGAGTGAAGGCTGACTGCTCTGTAAAAAAAAAAATACTTTAATATTGTAAATATTCTATTACTACTGACAGCATCAGCCAACCATGTATCATAAAATGCACGAGTGAATGAATTCAATATGTCTATTACCCATTGAACAATACAGTATATTGTACACCACACCCCCAAAAACTCAACCCTCTAAAGAATGAATGACCAAATAAGGAATCAAATCTATCCACCACACTCCCTACAAAATCTAAATTTTAAGAACAAAAATCAAGATTCTGGAGGGAAGAAGCGAATCATCATGGGAAAGAGCCAAGTCATTACGACTATATAGCAATTGAAAGGGGGTCAGGATTTTGGATGGGACGGGGAAAAGGAATGGTACCCAACCACTTGGTCGATTGGGGATTAAATGCCGACCTGCATGAAGCGAGACTGTCGCTCGCTCTACCGTCCAACCCAAGGGGTTGGGCGATTCCGGAGAGAAAAAGAGGGTTAAAAATTGCTTAATTTAATTTCTCTTGAAAGGCGAAGAGCATGTTGTGACTATGATTAAAATACTGTATACAGTGGATTTTAATGAGTTGACACATCCCTCTGGGATGTCAAACAGTATTCTAGATAACAGTATTCTTTGACATCCCTCTGGGAATTCCTGCCTTTGTCAAAACCTAAATTTACACCTATTTATGCCAATATTTCGGATTGCATATCAACACACGCTCCATGAGAACAAAGAGGCCTATATACTTACTGTTCTTAACACAAGATTTCTGTAAAACTCCTTTCCAGAGCAGTCATACAGGTAAAGCTCAACACTAGAGTTTGTGTCAGGAACATTGATCACCTTTGTGACTATTTCCACACCAAGCGTCTGTTGGTCAGAAAGTTTTAATTAGGAAATGAGAAACAATATTATTTTGGACTATGAATTTACAGTAAGAAATTGTAACAACTCATTGCAACTTTTAGGCATTTAATCGACAGGTTTATGCTGCTTCCCGACATCAACTACAGTACGATCAAGTGCCATCCTCCTGCTCATTGCACAATAGGTATTCAGTAGTAATACAACAGCAAAAGATGCAGATCATACTGGGATTTTTTATGAGAGTACTGTATAACTAAAGAGTATAAATACTAACCTCTAAACTGTGGAAAATTAGTAATGATACTGCTAGAAAATAACCCAACCCCACACATACAAAATAAAAAATGACGTTTCAGTCCCTCCTGGACCAGTATCAATTCAAAACTGAGAACAGAAGGGGAAAGGAAGCTCTAATAAGGCAAGAAGTGGGGTGAGAGATCGAAAGATGCAAGTGGAAAAGTAAAGCATAAAAACTGAGGTAAAGGGTTATCCCTATGAGGATAAACTATATCTCATAGGTTATAATCTATATCTCATAGGTATCCCTATGAGATAAAAGGAAAATTAAGCAAAGTAGAAAAGGAAAGAAAATGCAAAAAGTAAATAAAGGTAAAGGAGGATAAATAAAGAACCAAATTAGACACAAAGAAATAGAGAAAGAAGAGATTAAATGAGAGTGCAGAGGGGTAGATATCTAAGTGAGATCACACTTGATAAGATGATTAGAACATTTATCTACATGTTGGGAAAGGTATACCTGGAGAGAGCATACCTGGAGAGTGTTACGGGAGTTCTTCTACTTCCCGAGCGCGGCCTGGGACCAGGCTCGACATAATTTTTTATAAATGGTGTATCTCCTTTAAACTCTTGTTACCAGGGCATGTGGAACAATACACCACATAATAAGGTAGCAATTGGACTACCTTGGTTGCTGTAGCTATCAGATAAGAGAGCTGGTGTAATAACCCTGAACCTTTGTAATATTTCTGAATGCTACCCTTGTTGTAACTCACTCACTCTCTACTCTTCCCCTTCATCCAATACCCCCAGCTTAACACTGTTACAGTCCAGTATGACCCCTCACTGGACTGCCACGAATATAAACTGAATATTAAATGAGGAGGACATAACAAGAATAGGGGGGTTATTAATTTAGAATAATTAAAATCATTAAACACTGCCACCACCTTCCCAAACATAAATGCATGTGTCTAAAATTATTGGTTAACCAGGAAGGAAGGGACTCAATAATCAGGGAACTCAAAGGGCAAGTAAATGAGTCTTAATGGATTAATACTGTAATCTTACTGAACTGAACGGGAGATTCTAGAGCGATTTTACTATTCATAACATGGAGAACACAAGTTTATTGGCCCTGAAGTACTATTTTCAATTCGTCACTGGACAGATGGACAGGAGAGCGAGGGGAGCAAGTGGCTTCAAACTGTTTATGACCACGAGGGTCAGACCGTGACAAATGGAAGGGATGACCCAAAGGGAGGGAAGGCAAGCGAGGGAAGGGAAGGGAAGGGAAGGGGAAGAGAAAGGGGGAAGGGGAAGGAGCTATGGTGTGCATATACCATTACACTGGGAATCTGAAGCAACCAGAGGCAGAAGTAGATCTATGATTTCTAATGGGATCCCCCAGTTCTGTGGTTGATCTTTGATCCTCTGCTTGCTTTGCCTCATTGAACATGCCAGTTTCTGGTCCTGGATCACACGAGGAAATGGAAGGGTCTAAGAGGCCTAGTATGATGGCTCAAGTCTTGGTGGTACCAAAGTTATTCTCAAAGAGCCATCAAAAAGTCCCTCTCAGAAAAATGACTCAAACAACAAACTTTGGATTAGAAAATCTATTGGAGCAATGCGGGGATTTGAACCTTGACCTGGGTAGTCCCAAGCCACACCCCTTACTTCTAGACCATGACATGGTAAAAGTTATACAACCTACAATTCCACTGAATCCCCAGGAGATCTGGAGGCCACTATTGATGCCAGTTCAGGTTTTACATGTACAGTACCTGCTTGATGGGGTTCTGGGAGTTGTTCTACTCCCCAAGCCCGGCCCAAGGCCAGGCTTGACTTGTGAGAGCTTGGTCCAATAGGCTGTTGCTTGGAGCGGCCCACATACTCTCATATCCACCACAGCCCGGTTGGTCTTTACCCCAAAACTCTATTACCTATACCAGTGTGCATAACGTTTATATGTAAAATCTGGACTGGCTTCAGAAGCAAATCAGAGACAGTACTGTAGTTTAAGTAGCATTTCATTACTAAAAGATTTCAATCATCACTTACCATATTATAATTTTTAGGAAACTGGTTACCATCTGACATAAACATCTGCACCAATGATGATTTCCCAACAGCACTATCACCTGAAAAATTGCATTTCTTCAAGCTACTTTATTTACTGTACATTACTATCCTTAAAAATTAAGAAAAATTTGTCCCAAATTATGAGATAAAATTTCAACAAAATTTAAATCATATGTAATGTAATGAAAAGCTAATAATTCCATGATAAAAAATAATTTTGTAAAATATATTATTTCTGGAAAATTTGGCTTGTTAGGCAACTTGGCCTATTAGGTACAAGCTGAATTTTTCAGCTTATATTTCAAAAAATTTTTATGAAATTATTAAGCTTTCCATTACATAATATATAATTTTAATTTTTTTTAAGTAAAGTTAAAACTAACATAGAAATTTGATCAAACCTAACCTACCTATTTTATCCTAATTAAGTCAGTAATTTATGTTCTTAATATAACAATATTAAATGGAAAAAACTATTTGGAAAGATATATTTGAAAATAACAAAATTCCCCTGCTTGTTAGCCAGATTCAGCCTTGCATACTAGACCAAGTAGTGTGGTTCTGGCTATTAGGTAAGCATATATTTTTATATATGGGTATATGTAAGGCATATGTTCCCACAACACAACAGGATGTCCTAACCAAGTATACTGTGGGATACAGTTGAAACATGTAGCACATATCTATGTACAGTAGTATATATCATGTAATACCCATGGCACAGTGGTAAAGCAGGCGCCCGATGCTTCGAAAGTACTTTGGCCTGGATTCGTATCCCAGCCGGGAAGGATTGATTGGGCACAATCTTTAACTGAAGCCTCTGTTCACCCAGCAGTGAATGGGTACCTGGTTGTTAAACAATTTGGCAGGTCGTATTCCAGGAAAAAAATTAGGATTAAGGACCTGCCTAAAATGCTATGCATGCTAGTGGCTTTACAAGAATGTAAGAACTCTTGTACTGTACATATATAAATAAATAAAATTACCAACTCCCCCCTTTGTGCAAGGGAATTAGTGGGAGCCGGTTGGCCGAGCGGACAGCACACTGGTCTTGTGATCCAGTGGTCCCAGGTTCGATCCCGGGGGCCGGTGAGAAACAATGGGCAGAGTTTCTTTCATCCTATGCCCCTGTTACCTAGCAGTAAAATAGGTACCTGGGTGTTAGTCAGCTGTCACGGGCTGCTTCCTGGGGGTAGAGGCCTGGTCGAGGACCGGGCCGCGGGAACACTAAAAAGCCCCGAAATCATCTCAAGATAACCTCAAGAAGGCACTCTTTGATGACTTCAATTTAACATAACCCTGATGGCCCAGTTTAACATAACTATTCTAGTTATGTTAAACTGGGCAGGGTTATGTTCAGTTAAGACTAGGTCAATTCTTTATAAGTACAAATTTGAAAATTAGTGATTCTGAAACCAGCAGGTTTTCTTCCTATTAGGGAATGTAATAATTTAGCTTTGTTGGGGACAGGAAGCTGGGGTGTATATAAATACTTATGGTTATTGTGTAGGTTCCGCCCATGGTCAAACTACTGACATTCCCCAAGATGCAAAACCACAACAGTTGTGTATCTCCCAGGTACCTATTTCCTTTCACCTGATGAACAGAGACATCAGGTGATACTGAATCCACACGTCTGAGAATGAAGAAATGACAGTTTGGTCTGACCTGGACCATTATCAAGTCTTACAATAAAAAGATGGTGGAAGACAATATAAGGTAAGAGAATGAGATGACAGGCGAGACAAATATAAGAGAAAGATGAAGGTAAGAAAAAAAGAAAGGTAAGAATATGATGAAAGTGAAGAATAAGAGAAAAAGTAAGGGAAAAGTTAGAAATAAGGGAAGGAATAAGCAAGAATAAGAAAATGGGTATTTACCCGAAGAGCCACTAACACTTTAGCAGTTTAAACAAGGACAGGAAGCCAGTGGCTTGTCAAAGGTCCACCCCCATTTGCCCTGATGATCTTTTCCAGTTGGATTTTAAAATTTAACAGTTATGGCATTCATGGCTTTGGCAGGTAGGTGGTGGGTATAAATAAGTTAGAAAAATAGGAAGGTAAAGATAAATCAAGAAAAATGGAAGCAGCCAAATGACCAAGAGATAAAATCTAGAAACATAAGAGAAGAATGAAAGAGCCTAGAGAGGAGCAAAGCTAAGTCAGATCACGTTAGTCAAGGTTATCGTCTCCAGAGGTATCAGGCGAAGGGAAACCTGCCCGGGAATCAAACCCAGGACCCTCAATTGTGAGCCATGAACTTAGCGACTGTGCTACAATATTATTCACTGGATGACTGAAGCTGTCCAATAAACCTGCCCTTTGGTAATAAAAAAAAAGTAATTATATATTTTAATTCAACATTAATCACAAACTCACTACACTTTTCCCAATCAAGGTTCTAATTCCACAGTTTAAACTGCTGCTTACCAATGATGAGGCATTTTGCACGTATTACGCTATGCATTGTAAAATTTTACGAGTGCAGAGCAAAATATATGTATAACAACATGCAAATTTGTACACATAAGTTTTATATCTTCGTCTTTTATGCCATGTGCCGTCTGCGTGAAGGCTTCCCTCCCGACGACTTTTCTAATTTGTGCAGTTCTGAAGGCTGCATAAACTTTTGTGCTTATGTGAAGGTAGGAGCTACAGGCGCTCCTCTCAAGGCGAAGGAATCTCAGAAATGTTTATTTACCTTGGGTTGCTAGGCAACACAAATGCCACGCAGGGACCGCATTTGATGGGTAAAGTATATAAATTTACAAATAAATTTAAATTTACAAAGAAATATATGTATAAATGTATACAAAATAAATGTATATAAAATAAATGTATACAAAATAAATGTATATAAAATAAATGTATACAAAATAAATGTATATAAAAATAAACCTAGAAGGGGTACCACCTCTAGTGCAAGTGTAGGGACCCATAAAAAAAATGTATACAAAATAAATGTATATAAAATAAATGTATACAAAATAAATGTACATAAAATAAATACATTTATAATCAAAATAAATTTATATAAAATAAATTTGTATAAATTTACAAATAAAAATTAAAGATGGTGTTGTTAATTAAATTTTTAATTTAAGTTCGCCATTGTATCCATATTTTTTTCATATTTTTATATTGCAAAATAGTATCTAGTTTTTACCGTTTGTTCTTATTTTCTCTACATATATGGCAAATGAAACCATAAGAGAATACACTTCCCCTTATAATATATTCTAATTTGTGCGTCCTTAACTAGTCTTCTCTATTCTAGATGCAGTCCAACCACTTGGGCTGGACGGTAGAGCGACGGTCTCGCGTCATGCAGATCGGCGTTCAATCCCCGACCGTCCAAGTGGTTGGGCACCATTCCTTTCCCCCGTCCCATCCCAAATCCTTATCCTGACCCCTTCCCAGTGCTATATAGTCGTAATGGCTTGGTGCTTTCCCCTTAATTATGTATATATGTATTCTAGATGCACGCAAACTGACAAACTCTGAACACTATCTACTATTACATGTCTACAATTAGCTGTCCTTTTTATATTAGCTGTCTTTATATTAGCTGTTTATATTCGCTGTCTGTCATGTATATTTAGCTGTCTTCATATGTACAGTATATGTGTTTAGTCTTTGAATAGCCAGAACTTGGGTCCCAGTCACATGTTCTGGCCCAGGACTCAAACACGGAATTCTTGATTCAAAAGTAGAACAATAAAGTACCTAATTTAATCTTTATAGTATATCCCACCTTGTGCTACTAACTAGCCTAGTATTTTACAATACTAGCCTTGAGCGTGACACCATTATAACTTGTCTATTGCTATCATATAATCTTACAAACCTTCACCCATATCCTCATTTTCTTATCGCCATCTATAATTCTTATCCCGACTTTTCTTGCTATAGTTCCCCCTCTGCCACTACCGTCATGCGGACAGCAAGTCACAATAACGTGGCTGATCAGTGCACTCCCACTGTCAAATCTACTTGTGTACTGGTTCCTGAGCTTCTTGAACTCTATCCTATCTATATTTAAAACTGTGTATGGAGTCCAGCCTCCACCACATCACTTCGTAATGCATTCCATTAACTAACTACACTCTGACCCTGAAAACGTTTTTTCTAATGTCTCTGTGACTCATTTGTGTACTCAGTTTCCACCCGTGTCCCCTTGTGCGTGTACCACCCGTGATAAATAATCCATCCTTGTCTACCTTGTCAATTCCTCTGAGAATTTTGTATGCAGTGATCATGTCTCCCCGAGCTCTTCTCTCTTCCAGCGTCGTGAGGTGCAATTCACACAGCCTTTCCGTGTTGTGTGTGTGTGTGTGTGTGTACTCACCTAGTTGTGTTTGCGGGGGTTGATCTCTGGCTCTTTGGTCCCGCCTCTCAACCGTCAATCAACAGGTGTGTGTGTATGTGTGTGAATATACATGTTGGTATACACAATAGGCATAAACATTCACCGTTACCGTGCATTCCAGGAAATCGCAGTGTTGACGATGCCTCTCCACCCACTATACCCTCCCGCCAACGGGTACAACCACTGAACCCCTAATTACACCCCCAACAGGTCACTTAAAGTCCTTCCCCATAACCCTAGCCCCAACCCTCCAACGCAACACCCATCACCTCACCCTTGGAACACTGCCCGAGCTACACCCATGAATATTATCTTCTTCCACTTGAGCTTTCAACACAAGGAAGCGTGAACCTCGAATCTCAAGGCCTAGCAATAGGTCAGTTGATGGATGACGTGTAGGTGTAGAGACCGACAGGCCATCATACCCCGTCTCTGTCTCTGTCTGTCTGTCTGTCTCTGTCTGTCTGTGTGTGTGTGTCTCTCTCTCTCTCTCTCTCTCTCTCTCTCTCTCTCTCTCTCTCTCTCTCTCTCTCTCTCTCTCTCTCTCTCTCTCTCTCTCTCTCTCTCTCTCTCTCTCTCTCTCTCTCTCTCTCTCTCTCTCTCTCTCTCTCTCTCTCTCTCTCTCTCTCTCTCTCTCTCTCTCTCCTCTCTCTCTCTCTCTCTCTCTCTCTCCTCTCTCTCTCTCTCTCTCTCTCTCTCTCTCTCTCTCTCTCTCTCTCTCTCTCTCTCTCTCTCTCTCTCTCTCTCTCCTCTCTCTCTCTCTCTCTCTCTCCTCTCGTCTCTCTCTCTCTCTCTCTCTCTCTCTCTCTCTCTCTCTCTCTCTCCTCTCTCTCTCTCTCTCCTCTCTCTCTCTCTCTCTCTCTCTCTCTCGTCTCCTCCTCTCCTCTCTTCTCTCTCTCTCTCTCTCTCTCTCCTCATCTCTCTCTCCTCCATCTCTCTCTCCTCGCTCTCTCTCTCTCCTCTCTCTCGTCTCTCTCTCTCTCTCTCATTGTTGCACTCATGCTCAGAGTGTTTGCTTTTTAGTGAGAGTTCATATATATCATACATCATGCACTCCATGGCCATCCTGTGAGTGTGTGAAGGTTACACAGGCACATAATGAACTGAACCTCAAAAATTGGGCAAGCATGATCACGCTTTAATGGTCCAGCTTTCCTTGAATGATCAACTATTCTCATTATATATATAAATGAGAATAGTTGATCAATATATATATATATATATACATAAACACACGAGCCTGTCGGTCGCCCAGACGGGATCACAGGGAACCCCTGGACGAACGGTAGACAGTTGGTGTGGGACTACACGTGCGTTTCAACCTTGCCCAACACCTACGTTGACTTCAGTGTTGCACAACCAGGTAGCGCTGCTAATCACAGAGAAGCGGCAAAGTCCCGTATATACAGCGATCTGATTTTGTCCCCATTGCCTCGGAGACACTTGATGCCTGGGGTAAAAGTGCTACTATTTTTGTGAAGGAGCTGGGTTCTAGGCTAATTAAAACAACAAAAGACCCTAGAGCCGCTAGCTTCTTCTTTCAGCGCCTCAGTGTGGCGATACAGAGAGGAAATGCTCACTGCATCCATGATTCCTGCTCGGAATCTGAGGAGCTGGAGGAACTCGACAACTTGTGACAACTGAATATTCTACAAGTACCAATTCCCTGGACCAATTTATATTCTGAAGCCGTTGAAGCAAGACTTGCATTCCACTAACAAATTTAACTCAATAACGTATATTTTTTTTAAATATCAGGGAAAGCGCCAAGCCATTACGACCATATAGCACTTGGAATGGGGTCAGGATAAAGATTTGGGATGGGACGGGGGAAAGGAATGGTGTCCAACCAATTGGACGGTCGGGGATTGAACGCCAACCTACATTAAGCGAGGCCTTCGCTCTACCGTGCAGGCCAAGTAGCAATAACGTAGAAGATAATGTAAGAACTCTTGTATAACTGTATGCTCCCTCAAGAACCTCAACCTTGGCCGCCGGAGTGACTGTCCAATACTAGGTCAACGGTGTCGACACTGATAATGTAAGATCATAAAGCTTTCACGACCCCAGCATGATCTGGGGGTCCGTAACCCCCCACACACGCCCCCAGCATGATCTGGGGGTCCGTAAACACCCACACGACCCCAGCATGATCTGGGGGTCCGTAAACCCCCACACACACGCCCCCAGCATGATCTGGGGTCCAGGTATTACTTACAAGTGTATACAAGGAGACTGAGGACAGCACCGCTCCTGTGCCAGGTAAATCCACTACGGGCTCACCATAATAGCCCATGCTACTTGCCCTGCTCCTGTGCCAGGTAAGTTACGGGCTCACCATAGCCCGTGCTACTTGCGCCGCTCCTGTGCCAGGTAAGCTACGGGTTCACCACAGCCCGTGCTACTTGGAACTTGTTCCGAGTAGCTGAACCTATAATAACAACAAGGAGACTGAGAGCACTCGACTGAGGTGGTCTGAATACACGTCTCTACAACAAGACAGATCCCGTGATCCCTTGAGAGAAAGAGAGAAGGAGAGATAAGAAAGAAAAAAGAGAGAGAAGAAGAGAGAGAGAGACAGAAGAAAGAAAAAGAGAAGAGAGAGAGAGTCCAACAAACCGTTCTCTTACAGATTACGTCGCTTTTCGCTCGTATGCGCTACGACCAAATATCGAAGTAATTCAAAATGGAAATTTATTTTCCAATTACATTTTTTGTTTTGTTTTTCCCCAAAAGCAGCAAGTTAAGGGTCCTCTGGTTTTTTAGGAGGGCAGGAAATTCTCCTAAGGTTTCAAAACGTCATGAAAACCGTTAATTGAAAGTTTACCTTTGAATATCAGAGGCGCCATTTTTGTTTTTATATAGCCGGGTATATACAGAATTTTCAGGAATTCCGGGTTCGAATCCTAGGCGGAACAGAAATGTTTGGACACATTTCCTATCACCTAATGCTTCTGTCCACCTCGGCATCCTGGGGAGGGTCAGTAGTTCGACATTTGGAGGGACCTCGATATAATCCTAACCTGTATATATACACTGGCTGGCTGTCCCCAAGCAAAAGGAATTATTAAAGATAACGTAATACGCGTAGAGGTGCTGGGCCCGGGGACCCGGTAACCTGGCGGCGGCTTCAACCACTGTCTACAGCCTAACTTATCGACCCAACGCGCACATCTTACCCGGACCAAACTGGTTCTCCCTCGCCAGCAACCCCAGCAGGTCCTGTGTAGGGTTGGTGAGAGCGCGGCGCCTTCCCTCCCACTCTCATTCTCCTCTGTAACCTCATCAACAACACCCTCCAACCTTCTCTATAATTTTACCCACCCCCACTCCACCTCCGCCATTCTCAGC